ATGACATTTCGATTTTAGACATCGTTTCTATTTCTGCAACAAGGCAGCAGGGCGCATGGTTAGGTTGCGTCACCTGCGTTGCAAGGGCACGGTTTGAGGCACTTGACCAGCCAGTGCACACAGCTGCCTCCTGACCAATCAGAGCACCCCAGGCCAACCAGCCGATCAGGACAGCACATCAGCTTTCAGATTAATAAGCGCACGTACGGCCCATAAAGAGCACATCAGCTATCAGATTAATCAGCGCACGTACGGCCACCTGACCAGCCAGAGGACCCAGGGTCCAACTGACCAGTCAGAGCACACAAGGCAACCTGACCGATCAGAGCACCCTGGCACTGCGTCCTAACTTTTTCGGCGACAACGCAGCAGGGCGCATGGTTAGGTTGCATCACCTGCTTTGGGTCCAACTGACCAGTAAATTTGCACGATACGGCGCCGCGGCACGCCATAAAAGCGATATTTTTTCGGAGTTAAAAGGGGTTTTCGCGCTAAGCATCGTCTTGACGCCATGCGTGACATTTCTATTTTTAGACGCAGCTTCTATTTCGGCAACAACGCAGCAGGGCGCATGGTTAAGTTGCATCACCTGCTTTGGGTCCAACTGACCAGTAAATTTGCACGATACGGCGCCGCGGAACGCAGTAAAAGCGACCTTTTTTTCGGAGTTAAAAGGGGTTTTTGCGCTAAGCATCGCGATGACGCCATGCATGACATTTCGATTTTAGACATCGTTTCTATTTCTGCAACAAGGCAGCAGGGCGCATGGTTAGGTTGCGTCACCTGCGTTGCAAGGGCACGGTTTGAGGCACTTGACCAGCCAGTGCACACAGCTGCCTCCTGACCAATCAGAGCACCCCAGGCCAACCAGCCGATCAGGACAGCACATCAGCTTTCAGATTAATAAGCGCACGTACGGCCCATAAAGAGCACATCAGCTATCAGATTAATCAGCGCACGTACGGCCACCTGACCAGCCAGAGGACCCAGGGTCCAACTGACCAGTCAGAGCACACAAGGCAACCTGACCGATCAGAGCACCCTGGCACTGCGTCCTAACTTTTTCGGCGACAACGCAGCAGGGCGCATGGTTAGGTTGCATCACCTGCTTTGGGTCCAACTGACCAGTAAATTTGCACGATACGGCGCCGCGGCACGCCATAAAAGCGATATTTTTTCGGAGTTAAAAGGGGTTTTCGCGCTAAGCATCGTCTTGACGCCATGCGTGACATTTCTATTTTTAGACGCAGCTTCTATTTCGGCAACAACGCAGCAGGGCGCATGGTTAAGTTGCATCACCTGCTTTGGGTCCAACTGACCAGTAAATTTGCACGATACGGCGCCGCGGAACGCAGTAAAAGCGACCTTTTTTTCGGAGTTAAAAGGGGTTTTTGCGCTAAGCATCGCGATGACGCCATGCATGACATTTCGATTTTAGACATCGTTTCTATTTCTGCAACAAGGCAGCAGGGCGCATGGTTAGGTTGCGTCACCTGCGTTGCAAGGGCACGGTTTGAGGCACTTGACCAGCCAGTGCACACAGCTGCCTCCTGACCAATCAGAGCACCCCAGGCCAACCAGCCGATCAGGACAGCACATCAGCTTTCAGATTAATAAGCGCACGTACGGCCCATAAAGAGCACATCAGCTATCAGATTAATCAGCGCACGTACGGCCACCTGACCAGCCAGAGGACCCAGGGTCCAACTGACCAGTCAGAGCACACAAGGCAACCTGACCGATCAGAGCACCCTGGCACTGCGTCCTAACTTTTTCGGCGACAACGCAGCAGGGCGCATGGTTAGGTTGCATCACCTGCTTTGGGTCCAACTGACCAGTAAATTTGCACGATACGGCGCCGCGGCACGCCATAAAAGCGATATTTTTTCGGAGTTAAAAGGGGTTTTCGCGCTAAGCATCGTCTTGACGCCATGCGTGACATTTCTATTTTTAGACGCAGCTTCTATTTCGGCAACAACGCAGCAGGGCGCATGGTTAAGTTGCATCACCTGCTTTGGGTCCAACTGACCAGTAAATTTGCACGATACGGCGCCGCGGAACGCAGTAAAAGCGACCTTTTTTTTCGGAGTTAAAAGGGGTTTTTGCGCTAAGCATCGCGATGACGCCATGCATGACATTTCGATTTTAGACATCGTTTCTATTTCTGCAACAAGGCAGCAGGGCGCATGGTTAGGTTGCGTCACCTGCGTTGCAAGGGCACGGTTTGAGGCACTTGACCAGCCAGTGCACACAGCTGCCTCCTGACCAATCAGAGCACCCCAGGCCAACCAGCCGATCAGGACAGCACATCAGCTTTCAGATTAATAAGCGCACGTACGGCCCATAAAGAGCACATCAGCTATCAGATTAATCAGCGCACGTACGGCCACCTGACCAGCCAGAGGACCCAGGGTCCAACTGACCAGTCAGAGCACACAAGGCAACCTGACCGATCAGAGCACCCTGGCACTGCGTCCTAACTTTTTCGGCGACAACGCAGCAGGGCGCATGGTTAGGTTGCATCACCTGCTTTGGGTCCAACTGACCAGTAAATTTGCACGATACGGCGCCGCGGCACGCCATAAAAGCGATATTTTTTCGGAGTTAAAAGGGGTTTTCGCGCTAAGCATCGTCTTGACGCCATGCGTGACATTTCTATTTTTAGACGCAGCTTCTATTTCGGCAACAACGCAGCAGGGCGCATGGTTAAGTTGCATCACCTGCTTTGGGTCCAACTGACCAGTAAATTTGCACGATACGGCGCCGCGGAACGCAGTAAAAGCGACCTTTTTTTTCGGAGTTAAAAGGGGTTTTTGCGCTAAGCATCGCGATGACGCCATGCATGACATTTCAATTTTAGACATCGTTTCTATTTCTGCAACAAGGCAGCAGGGCGCATGGTTAGGTTGCGTCACCTGCGTTGCAAGGGCACGGTTTGAGGCACTTGACCAGCCAGTGCACACAGCTGCCTCCTGACCAATCAGAGCACCCCAGGCCAACCAGCCGATCAGGACAGCACATCAGCTTTCAGATTAATAAGCGCACGTACGGCCCATAAAGAGCACATCAGCTATCAGATTAATCAGCGCACGTACGGCCACCTGACCAGCCAGAGGACCCAGGGTCCAACTGACCAGTCAGAGCACACAAGGCAACCTGACCGATCAGAGCACCCTGGCACTGCGTCCTAACTTTTTCGGCGACAACGCAGCAGGGCGCATGGTTAGGTTGCATCACCTGCTTTGGGTCCAACTGACCAGTAAATTTGCACGATACGGCGCCGCGGCACGCCATAAAAGCGATATTTTTTCGGAGTTAAAAGGGGTTTTCGCGCTAAGCATCGTCTTGACGCCATGCGTGACATTTCTATTTTTAGACGCAGCTTCTATTTCGGCAACAACGCAGCAGGGCGCATGGTTAAGTTGCATCACCTGCTTTGGGTCCAACTGACCAGTAAATTTGCACGATACGGCGCCGCGGAACGCAGTAAAAGCGACCTTTTTTTTCGGAGTTAAAAGGGGTTTTTGCGCTAAGCATCGCGATGACGCCATGCATGACATTTCGATTTTAGACATCGTTTCTATTTCTGCAACAAGGCAGCAGGGCGCATGGTTAGGTTGCGTCACCTGCGTTGCAAGGGCACGGTTTGAGGCACTTGACCAGCCAGTGCACACAGCTGCCTCCTGACCAATCAGAGCACCCCAGGCCAACCAGCCGATCAGGACAGCACATCAGCTTTCAGATTAATAAGCGCACGTACGGCCCATAAAGAGCACATCAGCTATCAGATTAATCAGCGCACGTACGGCCACCTGACCAGCCAGAGGACCCAGGGTCCAACTGACCAGTCAGAGCACACAAGGCAACCTGACCGATCAGAGCACCCTGGCACTGCGTCCTAACTTTTTCGGCGACAACGCAGCAGGGCGCATGGTTAGGTTGCATCACCTGCTTTGGGTCCAACTGACCAGTAAATTTGCACGATACGGCGCCGCGGCACGCCATAAAAGCGATATTTTTTCGGAGTTAAAAGGGGTTTTCGCGCTAAGCATCGTCTTGACGCCATGCGTGACATTTCTATTTTTAGACGCAGCTTCTATTTCGGCAACAACGCAGCAGGGCGCATGGTTAAGTTGCATCACCTGCTTTGGGTCCAACTGACCAGTAAATTTGCACGATACGGCGCCGCGGAACGCAGTAAAAGCGACCTTTTTTTCGGAGTTAAAAGGGGTTTTTGCGCTAAGCATCGCGATGACGCCATGCATGACATTTCGATTTTAGACATCGTTTCTATTTCTGCAACAAGGCAGCAGGGCGCATGGTTAGGTTGCGTCACCTGCGTTGCAAGGGCACGGTTTGAGGCACTTGACCAGCCAGTGCACACAGCTGCCTCCTGACCAATCAGAGCACCCCAGGCCAACCAGCCGATCAGGACAGCACATCAGCTTTCAGATTAATAAGCGCACGTACGGCCCATAAAGAGCACATCAGCTATCAGATTAATCAGCGCACGTACGGCCACCTGACCAGCCAGAGGACCCAGGGTCCAACTGACCAGTCAGAGCACACAAGGCAACCTGACCGATCAGAGCACCCTGGCACTGCGTCCTAACTTTTTCGGCGACAACGCAGCAGGGCGCATGGTTAGGTTGCATCACCTGCTTTGGGTCCAACTGACCAGTAAATTTGCACGATACGGCGCCGCGGCACGCCATAAAAGCGATATTTTTTCGGAGTTAAAAGGGGTTTTCGCGCTAAGCATCGTCTTGACGCCATGCGTGACATTTCTATTTTTAGACGCAGCTTCTATTTCGGCAACAACGCAGCAGGGCGCATGGTTAAGTTGCATCACCTGCTTTGGGTCCAACTGACCAGTAAATTTGCACGATACGGCGCCGCGGAACGCAGTAAAAGCGACCTTTTTTTCGGAGTTAAAAGGGGTTTTTGCGCTAAGCATCGCGATGCATGACATTTCTATTTTTAGACGTGATGTCATTTACCCGATAAATCAGCGCAATCTGGTTCATGAACTCCAGGTGCTTCTCCTTTTAAAGCCGAGCGATGTTCTGTTTGCTCTTCTGCAGTTTGTGTTGGGTGTTGTCCAGCTTTTACCGCAGCAACTGGTTCACCATACAAAGTGATGATCACCTGACAACACACAAAAATTCACATTATATATGGATAATAACTAGATTTCCAGTATAATGGATTCTTTTTATATGATTGATTTCTCTGTTTTTGTAGCGGTTTGGGTTTTAGAGAAGTGAATTATAAACAAAATGTATTATTATTATTACTATTATTATTATTATTATTAAGAACGTTATAAAACGGTCATCAGAATCCTAAATCCTTTAGTTTCTAAAATTGATTGTTTTACACTTGTATGCATTAACGTATGCATTCTATTATGTTTGCATTATGTTACAAAAAACAAATTACTGATTGTGTAAGGCTTTGTAATAGAGTGGGCAGGTCGTGCAAATTTGATGGTGTTCTCTCTCACAATTTTTTTCTTTTTTCTGAAAATCTTCACAACACCATCGTGAAGATGTTTTTATTTTTTTTATTTTGGCAAACAGGATTGTAAAGAGGTGAATTATTCCTATTCTGTGTGCCTTATGTTTATTTATAAAAGGCAACTTCAGCTATTGAGAAACCTAAAAATGAAAAAAGGCCAATTACTATAATGTATCAACTAATTAATAAATTAACATACACACATATACATATATAATTAAGGGGAAAACTATTCGGCTTCAGTGAAATATTTATTATTTTTCAAACATTTCTCAAGTGATATTTAATGGCACAAGGAATTTATCAGTGTTTCCTATGATATTTTTTCTTCTGGAGAAAGTAATTCTGTTTAATTTAGACTAGAATAAAAGCGGTTTTACATTTTTTTTTAAAACCATTTAAAAGGTCAATATTTATAGCCCACTTAAGCAATATTTTTTGGTTATCTACAGAACAAACCACTGTTATACTTTGACTCGCCTAATTACCCAAACTCGCCTAACTAATGTAGTTAAGCTTTTAAATGTCACTAAGCTGAATACTAGTATCTTCAAAAATATCTAGTCAAATATTATGTACTTTCATGATGACTAATATAAATGAAAATTAATTATTGGAAATGAGCTGTTAAAATTAATTATGTTAAGAAATGTGTTAAAAATAAAAATGATTTCCTTTAAATAGAAACTGGGGGGAAAATATACAGGAGGATTAAAAATTCTGACTTTAAATGTACATACATACGACACATACATACCTATACAGCTAGGTCCATAAATAGACGAGCAGAGCACACACATCTAACGCCATCTTTATGCAAACGCTTTAATGGTCAAATGCATGCACATTTTTGTCAGAGTGCGCTGTTTAGGGATTATTAATATTAACCCTCATTTGTGTAATAAACAAACAAGTTGAGACTCAAAAGACACGCGAAAAAGAAACCATACCAGAGCCTCACTATTCTTAAAGTGTCAAACAACAAAAAGAGAAAATCCCTCGCTGCTCTTGAGTGAAGGACTTTTGTAGGTAAAGTTTTTTTCTTACAGTGAAAATGCTTAAAGCACAGTTCAAACATAACAGATTTATTAACTTATTTCTCCTTATCTTTGCTATAATGACAGTACATTGTTTTACTAGATATTTTTCAAGATACTAGTCAGCTTAAAGTGACATTTAAAGGCTTCAGCAGACAATCAAAAATATATATTGCTTAAGGGGCTATTAATATTTAGTTATTAAAATAGGTTTCAAAATATTTCAACCTGCTTTTATTCAAGCTGAAATAAAATATAAGCCTTTCTTCAGAAGAAAAAATATTATAGGAAATACTGTGAAAAATTCCTCTGTTAAACATAATTAGTGAAATATGTATATATAAAAAAATTCAGAAAAGGGTGAATAATTTTGACTTAAACTGATAATCGTTTTGAACAATCGTGATTACAATTATGAACAAAATAATCATAATTATTATTTTTCCCCATAATCGAGCAGCCCTAGTGTATGCGCGTGTGTGTGTGTGCGCATTTCACCTGTGTTTCTCCCTGGCTGAGCTCAATGTCCTCCAGGGTCTCCAGCAGCAGTCTGGATTTCTCCTACCCTCCTGTTTCCCCTGTGCTTCTCCCAGGCCCAGCTCAATATCCTCCAGGTCCTCCAGCAGCAGTCTGGATTTCTCCTGCACTCCGCTTGGTTGACTGCAGTCCAGAATGTTGTTGAGGAGTTGAGCGTGTTCCCCTCGCAGCGTCTCCAAACACTGCGTCACCTCTTTAGTGTTGTAGTCAGCATGATATCATCCTGCATCATCCACTCTAGAGCCTCGTCATGAGGGTAAGCCATGGTGGACATCACTGAAACACACACACCTGTTAAAAAAAAAAAAAAGCCCATCAGCATCATGCCATCTTACAGAGCTCACCATATATGAACTGAACTACTTTAACATAATAAAACCTTAATAAGTTTTTTAAAAAAAAATGGATGAGGATGAGTAAATGATGACTGTATTTTCATTTCGATAGATATTGCAATATGTTTGTTACAAAACTTGAAAATTACTATTTGGAAGGAATTTATTAAATTAAATTGATTGGGATAATCCTGTAGGGAAGTTAATTATAGTTAAATTGCAAAACAAATTACAAGCACAGATATAGAAAAGAGCAAAGATAAGTTAACTAAGTGATAGATAAGTGTGATAAACAGTGTTTTATGGATTTCACGGCAGTCAAATAGTATTCAGGTAGGGTTTTAGAAAAATCTAATGTAAAATAACACCGCAAGCCTGTACTGCATAAATAATTCAGTAAAATACAAGGCAACAAATGTTAAACTTTGTGTCTTTCAACTTGAGCAGAAAAATGCATTTAGGTGTAAAACATTTAGCGAGTAAACTAAATAGTGACATGCTGCTAGGCATTTGGTGTGAATCCAACATTAGACACGTCAGCAACACTAATGTGTATTTCAAATTTGCAGTGTGTATATGATATATTCCAAATGTTATATATGATATGATATATGATAATCCAAATGTTCTGTGTAGTAGGGTTGCACTATAAACGGTTTCAGCCTTCGATAATGCAACGTGCACATCCGCAATAGTCACATGGCAGGATCTACAATGTCAAATCAGGATTATAGTTGAGGAGTTAAAAACATACATGCCTGTGCAGTTATTGCAAAGGGTAACTATAAAGTTATCAAAAAAGTATAACTTGTTTTAAGGACTGTGAGGTTATACCCATTTCAAAACATTCAGGCACAGAAAAACGTATGTTTTAGTAACTTTAGGAAAGATTAATTGTACTTAAGAACAGTATATATATATATATATATATATATATATATATATATATATATATATATATATATATATATATATATATATATATATATACATATATATATATATATACATACAAAGAATATTAATTTGTGTTATTTATTTTAAATTTAATTATTTAATTTGTTTACTAGATTACTCGCAGAAAAACAAAGCATTTATTTCATTAGTAACTTTGCTTTAATGTATTTATCATGTGATTTGGTTTATTACATATTATCCAGTACAAAATCATCCTATTGTCATCAGAAATTATCCTTATGATTTTTTTTCCAAATAAAGCTATTCATTGCATCTGTAAAACTATACTCAATATCGCTATATGTATCGCAGAAAAAAATGTTGCAATGTCAGTTTTTTCCAATATTTTGCAGCCATACAAAGTCTATTGGAATAATCAACCAATGCGATATTTTGTTATTCTTCAATAAATATTCACAAAACATTTCACCAGATGAAATAAATATCTCTACTTTGAAAGAATTAATCATTTTAAACTGATTGTGATGATTCTGTAGAGAAGTGCATCTGCATAAAATATAATAAACCATATTACAACTAAATTGCACGTCTAAACATTAAAAACATTATTAATACAAAAAACATTTAGCAATTGCATAATCAGTTAATTAACTGGAGACGTATGGTTGTAAATATTAGCTAATTTTTAGTTATTTAGCTTATTCACCAGCAGTGTCTTGGTTTTATTTATTATGAGTAATAGTGTGAGTCTGTTCCCTGACCAGGTAAATGCAGCTAAACGACCAGTTATGTACACTTGATGTACCGCTTACACCGCAGTTTAATTGGTTTGTCTTGTCTCTGAATTGATCTGGAATGCATTGGGAATCAGTTTTCTGGATTTGGGGTCAGGGTGAGTGTGACCTCTGGCTCCTGAAGGTGACCTTTGACCTTGTGATGGAACTTTTCTTTGTAGCGATTAAACTCCATGATGCTCTCCGGCTCCTCCTGCAACCAGAACTTATCGAACTCGTACGCCAGGTAACCTACAGACAAGGAAATAGAGGAGTCAAATGTATTATTATTAGCTTTAAGAATGATTTATTATGATAACTATATTATACAGTTATTCGCCCCCCTGTTTATTTTTTCCCCCCAATTTCTGTTTAACAAAAAGCAGATTTTTTTCAACCCGTTTCTAAACATAATAGCTTTAATAACTATCGCTAATAACTGATTTAATTGATCTTTGCCATGATGACATTAAATAATATTTTTCTAGATATTTTTCAAGACACTTCTATACAGCTTAATGTGACATTTAAAGGCTTAACTAGGTTAATTAGGTTAACTACGCAGGTTAGGTTAATTAGGCAAGTTATTGTGTAATGATGGTTTGTTCTGTAGACTATTGAAAACTATTACTTAAAGGGGCTAATAATATTGACCTAAAAACTGTGTTTTAAAAAATAAAAAAAAATGCTTTTATTCTAGCTGAAATAAAACAAATAAGACTTTCTTTCTCCAGAAGAAAAAATATTATCAGGCATACTGTGAAAAATTCATAAGAGGGCAAATCATTTTAGATCAACTGTATAAATGCACACACACAAACTCCATATAAAAGCCAGAAACCAGGATTTTTTGCACTGTAACTGATGACAAATTTCACCTGTTCTCAGCAGGGAAAACCACTATCAAAAAATAATGCAATGGGTGACCCTTGACCTTGTCATGGAACTTTTCTCTGTAGCGATTAAACTCCATGATGCTTTCCAGCTCCTCCTGCAACCAGAACTTATCGAACTCGTACGCCAGGTAACCTACAGACAGGGAAATATAAGAGAAAAATGTATTAATATTATCTAAGTATGATTTAATAAGATAATTATATTATACAGTTATTAGTCCCCATGTTTATATCTATTGCATAAATACACACTCCATAAAAATCTTTTATGCACTGTAACTGATGACAAATTTTACCTGTTCTCAGCAGGGAAAACCACCACCAAAAAATAATGATTATATGGTGGCATGGCTTTACAATCAAAAAATGTTTTTATAATGGAAGTCAATGGGGCAAAAAAAACACCAACATAAAAAGCCACCAACAAAAGAAAATGGTAGTCAATTTGCCCAGACTATGTTGTTGAGTTTTTTAATAATTCCAAAGCATTTTCATAAAATATGTGTCAGTATAAGATTTGTTACTAGCATCATTGCATTTGTTAAAACACAAATTTGTGGTCAAATAAACCCTAAAAATCACCCCAGACTGGATAAAACATCAGCACACAAGGTTTAAGTCTATGTATATTCTACATCATAATAAGCCAGGTAACCTACAGACAGGGAAATATAAGAGTAAAATGTATTAATATTACCTTTAAATATGATTTATTATGATAATTATATTGTACAGTTATTAGCCCCCCTGTTTAGATCAACTGTATAAATACACACAGACATGCTCCATATAAAAGCCAGAAAGTAAGCTTTTTTGCACTGTAACTGACGACAAATTAAAATAAAAAAATAAAAAAATGAAAAAGCCACCAACATAACTAAATGTTAGTCAATTTGCCAGACTACACTGTTGAGTTTGAAAAATTCAAAAGTATTTTTCTAAAATATGAGTCAAAATAAGATTTGTCACTAAAATCATTGCATTTGCTAAAACAGAGAAAGTTGTGGCCAAATCAATTGTACAAATCACCACAGAGTGGATGGAAACGTTAGCACACAAAGGTTTAAGTCTGTGTAGTCTACTACACAATAAGCCTTTAGGCCACAAGCCTTCATGCTATCAATCCAGACTCCACAGTTACTAACAGCAACCTTGAAAAATCAGGAGGAATCTGGAAAAATCCATCAAGATGACCTGCAACATCACCACAACGTCAATTGGGGAAAAGTTAGTTTTATTTTTGCACATTCAGACTTTCCCCTAAATAATATAATTTCAGAAAAGTATTGTTTGCAAACTCTAAATAGGAATTACATCATCAGCAATAGCTACGTTTCCATCCACCTATTTTGAGCATAAAAAACGGTTTATGGAAACGCAAAGAAAGCTTATGTGCATAACTTAGTAGGATAAACTTTTTATTCAATAAGAAAAATGCACATAAACTACGATAGAAACACTTTCACCGTACAAATTCCAGTATGCACATTAAAAAAGGTCCTGTGATTTTGTTATAAGAGATAGTGTGATGATAAAAATGCGTTTGAATGGACAAACCAATTAGCCTGAGCAAACTGTAAACCATCTGAAATGTTGTACCGTTTCAGTATTGTGTATTATATTATTAATGGCCCCCCTGAATCAAGAGCGTCGGTGCTCCGCGTCTCACGCCTTCAAACGCCCCCGCGCGTTCACTGTGTGTCAGGATTGCCTTCTGGTGAGGCAAGTCATTTATTAAATGAAGAAAATATTGAGGTAGTTTCTCCTACCGCTGTAAATTTAATTTTTACTGTTTATATTTGGTGCCAGTTAATAAGGAAGTGACGATTTTGTTCGCTGTTGCGAGAAAATGCTGCTTTATTCGCACGTCTTCTATGCGATAATCCAGTTTTGCGCATAAAGTTATTTCGCATTTTTGGATGGAAACATAGCTAATGTCCATCTTGGTACCACATGGTTTACAGTCAAATAGTGATGTGCTTGTTTTAATGCAAGTCAACACTTATATGCTATTTCAGACCAAATATTCAATATAGTGGTAAGAAATAGCAAACCCCATTTATATTCTATCGTCTTTGGCAAAAGTCATATATACTGTCAGTTGTTAACGTTACTGTATAAAATTTAATGAATGCGAAAATATACAACCAACTTTACCTCAATACAACATCACTCATCCTGCACAACTTAGAAGCCCCTGCTTTCAATAAACCCATCCCAATTTATCAACAAACGAACACGGAATCTAATGTATACAAAACGCGGCACATTATCGTATATACAAATAAATAAATATTTAATTCAACATTCACTCCACCATCACTGTCTGGATGACGATTAAAAACGACTGAATGAATGTCAACAAAAACTTTTTAAACGGTCTAAACTAACTAGTATAACGTTAACAGTTTCTCATTTAGGCTAAATATTGGGCACAATTAAATTCAAATACGAAGCTATTGTTTTTACAAACAGAACTTTGCTCAATTTAAACTGGGCTGCAGGTTAGCATCACTGCTAAGTTGACTAATAACACAAACGAACATACCTTTTGCAAGCTGCTTTCCAAATGGGCCTCAAACTCCGGGTGAGATTTTGTGGATAATGTGTCGGAATTCTGCCAAAAAGTGATTTAGGTGGTAAATGGCGTGAAACCCGTCGAGTGTTTATGGGCGTTTGTTTGTTTGTTTGATTGTTTATTAACCTGTTGTTAACAACAGAGAGCGAACGGGCAAACTGCGCTAATTGCGGACGCGCATTTTTATACCAGAATCCACAGCCTGCCCCGCCCCAGCGCGCTGACGTCATAACATACGCCCTCCACATTGAGCAAGAATAGTTTGGTAATCAGTGTTGCCAACTTAGCTATTTTGTTGCTAGATTTAGCAACTGTTTATACTACCCTAGCAATTTTTCAAAAAGCACCCAGCAACAAATTTAGCAGTTTTTAACATTCATTTGGCTACTTTTAGCAATATTTAAGAAGTGACTCAAAAGGGCAGTGGCTGCAGGCTTCACTCAGTAGAGTAAATTGCAGTAAACTGGTAATTTACTGATATTTTTAGTGTGTATAATTGTTGGTAATTTAGGTAGCAATAAATTCCAATAGAGCTATTAATTGTTGTCACTTTCGCGAATGTGTTAATTTCACAAGTTAAAAAGAATAAGTATACAAGCTGTGTTTGGTTAAAAGAACGTAACTGTTCATTATCAGTGTGATAATTAAAAAGAAAAAAAATCTTATCAAAAAGTGTTTGTATTACTTTTACAAATAGTCAACTCTATTTTTCCTACAAATCTAAATGCGCATATTTCAAATAATGTTTTTGCTGATATGGCAATCTGAGAAAACATTAATTGTTTTGTATACTATATAAGGATGTAGTTCTGAGTTGTGATTACGCTATCACGTCTTTACACAAAGTATTTTGTTAAACATAACCTATTTATTGTGCATTGGAATGTACTGTAATATAAGAGATTAGAGACATGGAAGGCTTAGCTACTTTAATCCCTAAATTGCGGCGTTATTTTCTTTGTTGATTTACTAAACTTCTTTTCGTTAAATGTTTTGATAATAAATCGATAATTAATTGATGTTTTAATTTTCTGTCTCCCAGATTGCATTGCAATTGTTTAACAAGACAATTAAAACATGCTGTAAAAAATGTAGACTATTTTATTTTGGACTGCAGCCGGCTTAAACTTTTGGTTTTGTCTGACCAGATGAGAACTGCACAATGTAAATCTGCAAATGACTCAATAGCGCTGTATACAATGCAATATATGTTTAATCCTTGCGCTATTTTTAAGTGAATGTGATTGGAGTCAATTCGATTGAGTTAGAGTCGACTCTGATTATCGAATCCTAATTTTGGATTTGGAAACTGAACACCCCTACTTGCGCCCTCTGAGATGGTCAACGGTTCAGTTCTGCGCATGCGCACCAATACGAATCATTTCCGGGAGAGGACACTGCTGGTAAGTGTGATCCATACAGTTATCGGACTCAATAAAATCTTTCCCATTTGTCGTTAAATGCCAGAAAAACATGGCTTGAATCGATACAAACAATATAAGCGTCAAGTGAACCGCGTCTTCAGTTGAATTCACGCTGCTTGTTAATTGTTTTGTTTACGTCTGTCTCGTGCACGAGCAACCTGTTGTGCTGTCCAGCTTATTTTCCGAAGCTTTATCCGACACTTTGTCCGATTTGATGCTGAATTGCGCAAACAAGGGTCATGCACACGTCTTATTGGTCAGAGATACAACTAATGGCAGTTCTCAGAAAAATATCAGAATGTCTTCACAGAGTACAAGGATCATTCGCACTGAATCAAGTGTACATCAGTGATGTGTAGCTCCAGAGACAGCGTGGACCGCTTGCATGAGCTGTGTGCTGTTTATTATGAGAAACGCCATACGAACTGTCCATCCTGTGTATGTTATACATGTCTAAATGATCAGATGCATGCATTAGGAGGAACGTACGTTTGCTGAATGACGCTTATCTGGGGGTGCTTGTGTTTCAGAGGATGCTGGGATATATCTGGCAGTGTTTCTATTCCTCCTGTCTGCGCTTCTGGTTGAAGTGGTTCCTTCGGCTGGTCACGGGAAGATGTGAACTTCAGCGCATTTGTGCCCGATGCAAAGCTGGAGCTCTGAGGACTTCACAGATAGGTGATTATGATGATGATCGATTTATCTTTAAAACTATGATGTTCAAATAATATGATGTTCAAATACTACATTTTAGTGACATTTTAAGCACTAATAATTTGTGCTAGATTAGTTTGTCAGATGGTTATCATTGCCATACTTTTTGATGCAACAAAAATACATCCTACATTTCTGCACAAAAAAGTTTCTTTACAAATATGTATGTTTATTTACCAATGTGCAGTTAAACTTTAAGCTATTACAGTTTTATATACGATGTAATGAGATTGGAATTATAGAAATACGAAAAAAATATTTATTTTTTAAATGCTAATTTATTATCATCCATCTTAAAAAAACTAACAAAAACAAAAAAAAATTGGCAATCTGTAAAAACTGTAGCCTATATGCAATTAACAAACTTGCCAGCTCATTTCCTCAGTCAGAATTTGTCCATTTTAAATAATAAAAGCCTTCTTTTAAAGGTTATTTTATTAGTTTTTCTTCTTAAAGCCATCTTCTCTTGGTTATTTCACAATTTATGATGGCATACTATCAAAAATGAGATAAATGAGCTTATATATGGGCCAAATTCTGGGTTTTATCATAAGGGGGTGGGTCTTTTAAACCACCCGAACCCACCCTGGCTATGGGGCTGAGAAAGAGTACAGCTGCGGCCGGAAGTTAACGAGTTTTATTTATCAATTTACACTGTATTTTATTAATGTCTACCCCTATCCCAACCTTTCAGTAGTGTAAAAACAGTAATTATACAGAGTATTATTCACATTATTTATTTAATCGCCCAGTGAATTCTGTGTTATTAACATCTACCTCAGCCCTAACAAACCCAACCCTCACAAAAACATAAAAACATTAATTATTGTTATACAGTGTCACAAAAGTTGTGCTACACTGATGCGAGTATCCGCAGCTGTATCCCATCTAGACTTTACCATTTTCTTCCGCCCACAATGATGGTAAAGTCTAGATAGGATACAGCTGTGGATACGCACATCAATATAGCAGCATTTTTGTAACACTCTATATAATAGTAATTAAAACAAATTTAAGTATAGTGACGTTGTGTTTGGGGTTTATGGTAGGGTTAGATGTTAAAACATACAATTTATTGGGTAATTTAATAACATAATACTCGGTACAACTACTGTTTTTACATTATTGTGACGGTTGGCTTGGGGTAGGGGAAGACGTTAATAAAATACAATAAATGAGAAATATAATAAATAGGTAACACTTTACAATAAGGTTCATTAGTTATTGCATTTACTAACATGAACTAATCATGAACAACACATGTACAGCATTTATTAATCATAATTAAACATTCACTAATGCATTATTAACATCCAAGTCCATGCTTGTTAACATTAGTTAATGCACCATGAGTTAACATGAACTAACATTGAACTACTGTATTTTCATTACCTAACGTTAACCAACATGAACAAATACAGTAGTAAATGTATTGTTCATTGTTTGTTCATCTTAGTAAATGCATTAATTAACATTAACTAATGAACCTTATTGTAAAGTGTGACCAATAAATAATTTTAATAAGTCTTGTTAACTTGCAGCCGCAACGGTATTTGATCTAGCAGCAACTTACGACAACTGCGTTTTAAATTATGGGTCGCACTTCCGGTTTGACGAATGTAACTTAACTTTAAAACAAGTCATTTTTAAAAAGATTGTGCTACAACTTAGATGATAAAATAATATTGTATTTTTCCCTGTAAATACTATAGTGCTTTTGAATCATAATATAGTAAAGTACTTTAATACGTTGTCATAATATTATAGTTGCTATAGTAACACATCAACTATAATATAAACAAACGACCCACTACTATGGTTTTCCACAACTATAGTGTATATTATTCTACAAAACACCACAGCTTACTGTAGCAAATAATTACATTTTTTTACAGTTTATCAGTTTACTAGAGTTAATAACAGAGTATAGCTTTCAATAAGTGTTGTAAATACTTTTAGAAATGCAGTAAAATATTCTACAGTATGGTTCAAAACACTAGTATTTGCTCTAAATCACAGCAGTGTTTTTTAATGTGTAGATTAATTCATATCCATAGTGAAAAGTGAGTGAGAGCTACATTTGGCTTTTTGCTTTAGATTTATCATCATGAAAATAACGTTACCTGTTAATACTTTAACGTGACGTTAGTTTCTTAAGCACATTTGTGTTCAGAGCTATTTTGAGCTCACTGTGTTTTGTTCCTCCGCATTATTTTCTCTTTGAATTCCCCACAGCATGGTCATGTTCAATATACATCTGTAGTATTGCTGCAGAAAGAATTGTTCTGCTAAAAGTCATTTGTTTATTCTAAGTCGTGTTTAATATTGGATGGATGAACTGTGAGGAGAATAATGACCTTATTGTACTATTTTTTTGCTGAATATTTACAGTTTAACACAAAGCATTATGATGTTGTGTAGAAAAAAGATGGATAGGAGAAGAGAAGCAAATATTGTTTACCTAAAAATGAAAGTTCGGATCATATAGTGACCAATCTAAAGTGATATTTATAATTTTTGGTTTAAATGTATCAGTGTTGTATTAACGTGTGTGTGTGTGTGTGTGTGTGTGTGTGTGTGTGTGTGTGTGTGTGTGTGTGTGTGTGTGTGTGTGTGTGTTTTATTTGTTTGTAGAGTATTCTCTGAAATCCTCCAAAAGCAAGGTATGTGTGGCATTGATTTTGCAGTCAGACTGTTAAATTCAGCACTTCATTATCTGTGCATGAACTCTTTACACTATGTTTGTTTAGGTTTTGCAAACAGCTTTATCTGTGAAGCAGAATGAATTGGAGGACCGCCTGGCTCAAATAATACAGGAGAAGAGAATCAAGGAGCAGAAAGACCCCACGTAAGGGCCCCTATTATGCAAAAATCACTTTTTTAAGAGTTTTAAACACAGTTGTCTGGCTGCAAAGTGTGAAAATATCCAAGCGCTTGTATTTTCTAAATAATCACACTTGATTAAAAACTTTTTGATTTGACATTTACGTGTCGTAAGAGGGGGAAAGGCCCGCCCACTAGTGACCATCTCTCCCTAATTGGCTTGTTAAGTGGTGACGTGTTTGTGACGTATGTAATACTGTTTCCGGGTCCAAGCCGCCATTCATTTGAGTGGAGAAATCATTCGTTTATGATCACTTTTTATTCCTATCACACATTATAGTTAATTTTACATAAAGTCATAGTGTACACAACAATCTCTGGGCTTGCTGCATAAAAAATACCAAAAATTTAACAATATATAAAACAATGAATTACTTTCTGGCCATCGGATATTAGGCATGGACATATATATTGCAATCTTGACTTTCGAAAGTATTAAATTGCTTTGTAAACGTTGATTATTACCATATCATGAGTCTCCCCATTCAGTTGAATAGAGCACTTGGACCCGGAAGCCGCTCCCTGTGACGTCACACTTAACAAGCGGATTAGCATAACTAGCCCTGAGTGAGAAGCAGTCATCCGCTATTAGAGTTTTTTTATTTGTTGCTTTGTCTGTGTTTGTTACAAGTAAATGTATATAATAATTATATCAGGATTTAATACCAGTTTTACAAGCAAAAATAATAATATGAAAAGCCAGAAGAAGATCTACAAACAAAAAAAAACAAAGAAAAAAAAAACCTGGCCTTGAAAACACAAAGCCAAAGAAACCATTAGCCTTTACAATGTATGTATTATCTCAGCTCAACACATTTATAATTAAACAGCAACAATAAATAATCATGTATATGCTACTCTATGCTGAATTTCGGTGTCTCTATATTTCTCTTTCTTATTTGGCTTTTTTTTTTTTGCAAATGACAGCATTTTACTTAAATTCACAGCCACACACACACACACAAATATACTTTACACAATCACTTGTATAATACTGTGTAACACACAAACATTGTATTTCACAAGAATTACTACTAGTTTAAATCAAGTTATAATGAAAACAATGTAAAAACACACAAACTCACCAAGGAAATCATTCAAAATCAAAAGCACTCGTGTGCAGATTTCACTCTTAAGATACAAATCTTGTTTTTCTCTCAATCCTTAATTAAAAATATATAATGTAAATCATTTCAACATCTTATTAACGGTAAAATTTCACAGTAAATACGCATTTAAAACATTAAAAAATATAAATCTAATACTTTTCTACTGTTAATAATATAACAACTCTGCATTTCTTTGCAAACACTGAATCACCATAGCAACGGTAAACACAAGCTAACAGACAAGAGAGATTTGTTATTGTTTGTAAAGCTGATCTGCTGCTATCTGCTTGTTAAGTGTGATGTCACGCGAAGCGGCGTCCGGGTCCAAGCGCTCTATTAAACTGAATGGGGAGACTCATGAAATGGTAATAATCAACATTTACAAAGCGATTTAATACTTTCGAAAATCCCGATAGCCCGATATGTCCATGCCTAATATCCGATGGCCAGAAAGTGATTTATTGTTTTATAAATTGTAAAATATTTGGTATTTGTTATGCAGCAAGCCCAGAGATTGTTGTGTACACTATGACTTTATGTAAAATTAACTTTAATGTGTGATAGGAATAAAACATGACCATAAACAAGTGATTTCTCCACTCAAATAAATGGCGGCTTGGACCCGCAAACAATATTACATACGACACCACTTAACAAGCGGATAGTGGAAGGTACGATGATGTCATTCCAAAGCACTACTTCCTTGGATGCTGTATAACACTCTATTATAAATTATATATATAATTAAATAATTATAATATATTATTTAATCGAGTGTTTAGCCGATGTTTTTTCTCATATTTATAAGGTTATTTCTATTTGCTCAATCGCTGTGTACTACCCACTAGTAACCTGGGTTACACGTCACTTACAGGTTTAAGGTCAATCTTCGTCAGTGCTTGTTACAAATAAACGGATATAATGAGCTGTTTGAGGAGGTGGAAGAGCTGAGGAAGAAGGTGTTTGACTCTGAAAATGAACAACATGAGAACATGCTTCTGAAGGTGATGGATTTGTTGATTATAAAGTCAGTTTTTTTTTTTATCTGGATTTAATTTGAGTATTGGAATAGTGTGTGTTCGTTTTCCAGCTTTGGGATTTGCTGATGCCGTCAGTAAAGCTGGAATCCAGGATCACCAAGCAGTGGGGAAACATCGGCTTTCAGGGCGACGATCCCAAGACGGATTTCAGAGGCATGGGGATGCTGGGACTCACAAACCTGCTGTAGGTCATGTTTGTTCTCATTGCTTGAGGAGAGTTCATCAAAATTGAAAATGTACTGCTGATTTGCTCATTCTAAGGTCATCGAAGATGTAGGTGACTTGTTTCTTTAGTAAGGCATTAAAGCAGATCTTTTATGCCCCTTTTATAAGATGTAAAATAATTCTCCGATGTCCCTTGAGTGCGTGTATGAAGTTTCAAATCAAAATATTCCCAAATTATTGTTTTATAACTGACCCGTTTAGACTTTGATCCTAATTGTGCTGTTTTGGTAATCGTCGCTTTAAATTCTAATGAGATTGTGCTCTTTTTTTCAGAAGAAGGTGGAGCTACAAATGCCTGTGTGTCAGCATAGCAGCAGATTATAATGTTATAAGTGATGATGTTATAAATCAGATTCAGTATCTTGCACGGACTGATCATTTAACTTCATAAGACCTCAGTGTGTCATCAGGAGCCAGACGTTTTCCTTTTGTATTGCTTGTATGTGATTCTTTTGACTCAAAGTGCTGAAAACTACGGAAGCCCATTCCTGCCACTGAATAAAAAAATATCAAAAACAATGAAAAAAAATTATGAAGTCGCAATTTTAAGTTATAAAGTCAGAATTCTGAGTAATTAAATCTAAATTCTGAGTTAAAAAGTCAGAAATCTGAGTTTGAGTCAGAATTCGGAGTTATTAAGTCAGAATTGCAAGTTATAAAGTCCGAATTCTGAGTTATTAAGTCAGAATTGCGAGTTATTAGATCAGAATTCTGAGTAATAAAGTCACTTTTGGGAGTTATATAGTCAGACTTCTGAGTTATAGTCACAATTCTAACTTAATAACTTGCAATTCTGACTTAAACTAGAGAATTGCGACTTTATAACTCAGAATTCTAACTTAATAACTAACTAAGGTGTAATCACCTTTTCAGACAGACAAAATAACATCATTTAAAAAATGGTCCAAAAAGAAAAATAATGTTATTTTGTCTGAAATATAATGAAAAGTTGATTACAAAAAAATTCTAAAAAATAACAATAAAAAAGATGTTTTATTATTTATTTTCCCCCCATTTGACTGTCAAGGTATCAATAATATGCTACACTTTCTTCTGAACAAAACATCGATCAAACAAATGTTCAATGTCTGAAAAAAAGTTGATCAGAAAAAATGTCTAAAAATAATAAATAAAATAATACAACAACAACAAAAAATATTATTACTTTTCCCCATTCGACTGTCTAGGTAGCGATAATCTGTTACACCTTCTTCTTTGAACATTTGTTTTAATGGTGTTATTCTGTCTCTGGATGAAAAATTGATGACAAAGTTGATGACAAAAAGCTGAATTGAATAAATAACAACTTAAAGCTGTCATTCTTTCACACCAGTGTTAACATTTATTGTTTTTGTCCACAGTTTTTTCAGTGAGAAACACACAGACGCAGCCCGGCAGGTTCTGTCACATGCAAATCACCCCACACTCGGGTCAGTCCTCGATCAGAAACATCATATCAGCACTATCAATCTGCTCTTTTTATTATTCATAACTCATGTGTGTGTATTTGTTTGTGTTTTTTTGTGTGTGCGTGTGTGCGTGCAGGTATTCATATGCCATCGTGGGCATCAATCTGACAGAGATGGCCTACAGTTTAATGAAGTCGGATGCTCTGAAGCTTCATTTCTATAACAGTGTGTCTGGAAAAGCAGAAATGCAGCACTTCCATCAGTTCTACTGTGAGTGAGCTCTAGATGACCTCTCTTTTATACAAATGTGGAAACACTTTGTGTTTAAAATGGCTCGATTAAAAAGTCAATGTTGTTTGAGTGAACCTCACAAAATGTCAATTAAGTGAAAAATTAAACTAAGCTTAAATTGAGTGAGAAACTTCTGTGTAATAATATCATCATTCAAATGAAATGCAGTATAAAAACCTTTTTAAACAAATGTTAACACTTTACAATAAGGTTGTATTAGTTAATGCATTTACTAACATGAACAAACACTGAACAATACATGTATTACAGTAAATACTGTGCTGTTGTTGATGATTAGTTCACATTAGTAAATGCATTAACTAATGAACCCTTAATTTAAAGTGTGACCAAAAATATTATTAAAAACTTTTTCATTTATAAATGCATATCAATTAAAGAGCAAAAAAGGGTTTCAATGTTAATAAAATTTAAATGTTCTATTTAAAAAAATGTGGAATGGAGTAAAAAATCAGCATAGAATTATTGTGATAGACTAATAATAGCAGTGCTTCCCACACATAGACTTTACTTGGGTGGGCCGTCCAGGCATAATAACAGCCGCACAACTATATTTAGTGACAGGTTGTTGTTTTTTTACTAATATTATCATCCTCTCACACTTTTTTTTTTTTTTTGTATCCGCCCACTATAACAAAACATCCACCAGTGATTAAGTAGTGGAAAATCTTCTCTCCTTTACCCATTTCGTACTGCTCCATCTGTGTGCACGAGAACTGTCAACACTCCCACAGACAGTCTCATGTGCTCTGCAGACCCACAGAGACGCACGTTAATTTAATGTGCACAGCCGCGAGAGTGAGAGACATTAAATAATTAATTATTTACTCTAATCGACAAAAAATTTACCAAACACTGGAGAGGACAAAATGACATCTAAATTGGCTGCAGAATATTTGTACACCTTTAAAAATGGTCTCATTTAAATAATCTACACGTTTCTATCTTATAATTATTATAATTTTTAGACATTTATTCATTTTCTTGTCGGCTTAGTCCCTTTATTAATCTGGGGTCGCCACAGCGGAATGAACCGCCAACTTGTTCAACATATTTTACGCAGCGTATGCCCTTCCAGCTGCAATCCATCACTGGGAAACATCCATACACTCTCATTCTCACACTCACACACACACTGCTAACAATTTAGCTTACCCAATTCACCTGTAGCGCATGTCTTTGGACAAGTGGGGGAAACCTGAGCACATGGAGGAAACCCACGCAAACTTGGGGAGAACTTGCAAACTCCACATAGAAATGCCAGCTGACCGAGCCAAGGCTCGAACCAGCGACCCTCTTGCTGTGAGGTGACAGCACTGCCTTCTGTGCCACTGCGTCTCCACTTCTGAGATATTGTCTGGTTATATAATTTTTGTTCTGTCATTTTTTTCTCATTTGCTGTATATTTTATTAATTTGATAATGTCAATATATTACATGTTTTATACATCTAAAATGCTTTGGCAATACTGAACAAAGTGTCATGCCAATAAAGCAACATGAACTTGAATAAGAGATGGAGAGAGGCAGATTTGACCTGTCAGTGGGTGCTCATGGCTCCTGAATAGCAGAAGAGAAATTTATTTCAACAGTCTTTTTTTTTTAATTTAACCCAATTTAAAAGAAAGTTAAGAGAAGAAAGAAATTTTAAACAGATAATAATAAAAAATAGTGTTAAAAATCAAATTATGTTTAGTTTGTCGCATATAGTTAACTCTTTATGTGCTGTAGGTTAATGGTGTGTTTCAATCCGGCTACCACCGCAAGTACATTTCTGACCTGTGGGAAGCACTAAATATTCAGTTTAAAAAATGTATATAAAAATACTGTAGAGAAAACACTTTTTTACTTTAGAAAATACTGTAAATACATCTAAATGGAGCACACATCTAAATTATGTTTTATTTTCTAATGAAGAAATACAAATAAAGAAGAAATAGGAAACTGTGAAACTATTATGACAACTAATTTAAAAAAACAGAAATGGTGTGGAAAAAAGTGCTTGTGTAGATACGTTTTAAAATCAGTAGAGATGCATTTTTTATTTTCTAATGACTTATTATTGCAATTATTGTGACAGTATAATTGCATACCTGTCAACATTGGGATTTGAAAGGAAGGGATCCCCTCCCAAAAACACACAAAAAAAATAAATAAATTCCCCAAATTACTAAATCTGTTCATCTGGAGCCATTTCATTGTAAACAGTTAAAACGGTATAATATGTTTATTATTATAATTTTTATGATTATTAATATTATTAATACTAAGGATAGAATAAATAGTAGACATGCAAATAAATTAAAGTTAAGCCTATTAAAGTTAATAGCTATTATTAAAAAAATCTAATCTCTTGAACCTTTTCTTCACTGTATAATTTAAACATTCTGATTATAGAGCAACGAATGGATCTCACATTTAGACTTTTCATTTGATTACATTAAATAACAGAAGTGTCACTTTAAAAATGCGCAAATCCATAGTGAAAGACTTTGATTGATTGCTAACCGGTTATGCACATTTTAAGACAAAATTAGTTGTGTTAAAAATAATAGTTATTATATTATTTATATCATTATATTATTTATGTTATATAATATTAGTAGTATTATTATTATGTGTACATGTCTGTTCAAACACGCACCCAAAACCCAGAGCATGCATTTTCCCTTTGCTTTAAATCATGTATACAGAATGCTTTTGAGAAACAGCGTCTGTTGATCATTGTGGAGCGCATCTGACAGTCACCTACTGCTACATCAACTGACTGTTTTTAGGATTGCATAGAAGGGGCAACAGCACCTGTAATGGAAAGGAAGGAAATCTCATCACTTTTATATTTATTTCAAAGTGTTTTCATGCCTAAATGAACAGAAAGCACAAAACAGATTAACATTTTAAAGCAAGAGATGCCCCCTGGTGGTTCGGCTCTTTGATGTTTATTGCCACCCTTCATAGAAAGATTACAAATATGGAAAAATAGCTCTACTGGATGATATTGGGATAAAATTGTAAAATACAGGAGAATCCCAGGAAAAACAGGAAGAAAGGTATGTATAATTGTGATAGAACACTATTGTGCGCACTAATTAAATTATTAAAATATATAAATAAGTTAATTCTTTACAGTATGTGCCTAATATATTGGAAAAAATATCATATTATTTAATGTATTTGAAAATATTCTTTAGTATATATTTTTTTGTATTTCCTTGATGTCTTTAAAAGTGCATAATCACAATTTTTATATGTATATTTACATATAATTTTTATTTGTATATGAGTGTATACAGTTGATTCAAAATGATTCGCCCTCATGAATTTTTCACAGTATGTCTGATAATATTTGTTCTTCTGGAGAAAGTCTTATTTGTTTTATTTCTGCAAGAATAAAAGCAGTTTAAAAAATGTTAAAACCATTTTAAGGTCAATATTATTAGCCCCCTTACGTAATATTTGTTTTCGATAGTCTACAGAACAAACCATCATTATACAATGACTTGACTAATTACCCTGACCTGCCTAGTTAACCTAATTAACCTAGTTAAGCTTTTAAATCTATGATCTTGAAAAATATCTAGTAAAATATTATTTACTGTCATGGCAAAGATAAAATAAATCAGTTATTAGAGATGAGTTATTAAAACTATTATGTTTAGAAATGTGTTGAAAAAGTCTCTCAGGAAAAAATTACAGGGGCTCTAATAATTCAGACGTCAACTGTATAATATAATTATCATAATAAATCAAGCTTAAAGATAATAAGAATAATACATTTGACTCCTCTATTTCCCTGTCTGTAGGTTACCTGGCGTACGAGTTCGATAAGTTCTGGTTGCAGGAGGAGCCGGAGAGCATCATGGAGTTTAATCGCTACAGAGAAAAGTTCCACGACAAGGTCAAAGGTCACCTTCAGGAGCCAGAGGTCACACTCACCTTGACCCCAAATCCAGAAAACTGATTCCCAATGCATTCCAGATCAATTCAGAGACAAGACAAACCACAGCCGTTCTGTTTGTTTTGGCTGACTTTTAGTTTAGTTCAACGTGCATGAAACCTTATTTGAATAATAATTAAACTGCGGTGTAAACGGTACATCAAGTGTACATAGCTGGTGGTTTAGCTGCGTTTACCTGGTCAGGGAACAGACTCACACTGTTAAGTATTACTCATAATAAATTAAAGCAAGACACTGCTGGTGAAAAAACTGAATAACTAAAAATGAGCTAATATTTACAACCATACGTCTCCAGTTAATTGACTGATTAAGCAATTGCGAAATGTTTTTTGTATTATTAATGTTTTAAAAATGATGTTTAGACGTCCAATTGAGGCTTTATCTAATTAAATATGATCTCATTTCAAGCAGAAACATCTGAAATCTGGATGAAATTGAGTTAGAAATTGTTTTATTTGTTTTGTTCGAAAGTCGTTTGAGGCCATGCATTAGTAGAATTTTCTTTTTACTTATCACAACTTAATTTAACTCAACATGTTTTATATATCTATAAAAACTGTTCCTAATCTAGAACATCATCTTATATAGACGTCATAGATTCAAGAAAACAACTTATGCCTAAATCACAAAAAAAAACATATCTATGTTATGTTGAGATTACAAGAACATTGTCAACATCACAAGAAAAATATTTTTGTTGATGAAATCACATGAAAATTAGGTCATCATCACTAGACAGACAATTTCAACCAAAATTGTTTTCTTGTGATTGAAACTTAATTTTCACACGATTTCGACAAAAATTAAGTCGTGAACACAAAATACAGATTTTGTTGGGATTGCATGAAAATTAATTTGTGATCATAAGAAAACAACTTTTGGCAAAATATTGTGAATTTTCGACAAACGCTATTTTCTTGTGATCATGACTTATTTTTCATGCGATTCCGACAAGTTGTTTTCCTAAGTCGTAATTGCTAGAAAACTTTTTTCGAAATCATGCAAAAAATTGAACCCTGATCACAAGAAAATAACTTTTGTTGAAATCAATTGGACATATGTGATCACAACTGAATTTTCAAGGGACTTTTCAATGTGATCATAACTTTTCGCATGAGTTCGACAAAAGTTATTTTCTTATGATCACTTAGTTTTCATGCAATTTAAACAAAAGTTGTTTTCTTAAGTGGTGATCACATGAAAATATTGTCGAAATCACATGTAAAACAACTTTTGTTCAAATCATGTGAAAATTTACACTATTTTGACAAATGCTGATTTATTGTGATCATGACAACATAGCAATTTATGTCGAAATTGCATTAAAATTTAGTAGAAACTTTAACTTATACATTGACTCGGCAAAAGCTGTATTGTGATCACAATCAAGTGAAGAGTCAAGATCACAAAATACAGATTTTGTCGAGTCAAAGACAATAATTCACACTATTTTAAAAAAAACTGTTTTATTGTGACCACAAATTAATTTTTGCATGATTTTGACAATTTTTGTTAACTATGTTAACAACAAGTTGTTTTGTGTGATCACAATCAAGCTAAAAGTCGTGATCACAAAATACAGCTTTTGCTGAGATCGTATGAAAATTAAGTCGTGATCACAAGAAAACAACTTTTGTCCAATTCATGCAAAAAGTTATGATAGCAAAATACATATGTTTTCGAAATTGCATAAAAAACTATGTTTTAACTACAAGAATACAACTTTTCTTGAAATTGTGTGAATTTTAAATGTAATTTCCACAACCTAATGTTTATGCAATTTTGAAAAGAGCTCAAAAGTTTTCTTGTGATCACAATTACATTTTCACAAGATTTCAACAAACAATTTTTTCTTAGGGTCGCGAATTATTTTTTTTATGCAATTTCAACAAAAGTTGTTTTATTAAGTCATGGTCTTTAGAAAACCTTTTTCAAAAACACAAAAAAATTTAGTCACAAGACAAAACTTTTCTCGAAATCACATGAAAATTCACAGTATTTCGGCAAAAGTTGTTTTATTATAATCATGACTTAATTTTCATGAAATTTCAACAACAGTAGTTTTCTTATGATTACAAACAACTTAAGATAACTTGTATTAATATCACATAAATATTAAGTCGTAATCACAAAAAAAACAACTTTTGTCAAAATCTTTCGAAAAGTTACGATCACAAAATACAGTCTTTTTCAAAATAGCATGAAAATTAAGTTGTGGTCATAAGAAAACAACTTTTGTCAAAGTCACGTGATCATTTGTTTTAATTTGTGATCACTAGTATCATGCAGAAATTCACACTGTTTCACTATACAAAGTTGTTTTATTGTGGTCGCACCTTCATTTTCGCGTGATTTCAACAAAAGTTGTTTTATTGTGGTCATGACTTAATTTTTATGCAATCTCGACTGAACTTGTATTTTGTGATTACAATCAAGTGACGTCTTGATCACAAAATAAAACTTTTGTCGAGTCAATGTTTAAGTTAACGTTTTGACAATCTTCATGCGATTTCAGTATAAGTTATCATAAGTCATTATCACAAGAAAAACAACTTTTGTCAAAATCACATGAAAATTAATTCATGATCACAAGAAAATCAACTTTTGTTAAAATCACATAGAAATCCACAGTATTTTGACAAAAGGTTTTATTGTAATTACAACTTAATTTTAAACAAACTTAACAAACTACTTTTAATGCGATTTCGACAAAAATTGATTTATTGTGATCACAAACTACTTTTAATGCGATTTCAACAAAAATTGATTTATTGTGATCACAACTTAATTTTAATGCAATTTCAACAAAAGTTGATTTATTGGTATCACAACTTAATTTTGATGCGATTTCGACAAAAGTTGTTTTATTGTGATCACAAACTAATTTTAATGCGATTTCGACAAAAGTTGATTGTGATCACAAACTAATTTTAATGCGATTTCGACAAAAGTTGATTTATTGTGATCACAAACTAATTTTAATGCGATTTCGACAAAAGTTGTTTTATTGTGATCACAACTTAATTTTGATGCGATTTCAACAAAAGTTGATTTATTGGTATCACAACTTTATTTTGATGCGATTTCGACAAAAGTTGTTTTATTGTGATCACAAACTAATTTTAATGCGATTTCGACAAAAGTTGATTGTGATCACAAACTAATTTTAATGCGATTTCGACAAAAGTTGTTTTATTGTGATCACAACTTAATTTTGATGCGATTTCAACAAAAGTTGATTTATTGGTATCACAACTTTATTTTGATGCGATTTCGACAAAAGTTGTTTTATTGTGATCACAAACTAATTTTAATGCGATTTCGACAAAAGTTGATTGTGATCACAAACTAATTTTAATGCGATTGACAAAATTTGTTTTATTGTGATCAGAAACTAATTTTAATGCGATTTCGACAAAAGTTGATTTATTGTGATCACAAACTAATATTAATGCGATTTCGACAAAATTTTATTTATTGTGATCACAAACTAATTTTAATGCGATTTCGACAAAAGTTGATTTATTGGTATCACAACGTCATTTTGATGCGATTTTGGCAAAAGTTGTTTTATTGTGATCACAACTTAATTTTAATACGATTTTGACAAAAGTGGTTTTATTGTGATCATGACGAGAAAACAAGAAAAAGAAATATGATGCATGATCTCTCGCGGCTCTTATAGTTTTGAGACATTAGTGTCAGTTTTTTCAGAGGGGATTACGAGAATCTCTTTTTATCACTACATCATTCAGATAATACTGTGAACAGCCACAAATAAATATTTCAATAAACTGAAATGTGGGGAAAACTTTTTAAGGGACATTTTTGATTTTGTGCAGGAAAAAGACTTCTTGAAGTCTACAAACAAAAAATGTATGAAGAGCATTTTTTTAGACAAACACTTTAAAAGCCCAAAAACTTCTAAAATGCATTAGAAATTACCGATTTTTGCCTGCAGTGTCTGGCCTTAAACATGTTTAAATCAATCTAAACTCCCTTCACACTTGAATGTTTGCTCATGGTCACATTGTTCATCTCAGGAAGCTGACGTTTACGTTCATGTTCATAAGACCTTTAGGAAGATGTTGTTTTCTTGAATATGCAGATGATGATTTGACCTCTTTGCATGATAAAGTGTGTTTAAGTTGTATTAAACCCTGCACAGATCCTTCCCGTGGCCTATATCCAATGATATTTAATAACTGTGTGTGTGTTATAAGTGTGAATATTGTTCTTCAGACCTCAACTCGATTCCAAAGTACAGCATTTGTGTGCACAAGCTGATGTTGACGTGTGACGTCTTATTTATAAACCGTGTTCAAGATGTAACTTTTTATTCCTGACGACCCGATTCATTTTATAGAGGTCATTCCTAATGTTGAAGATTAATAAATCAGTGACTGAATATTAATGTGCCGCGTCTGGTAGTTTTCTTTAGAGGTTTGAATTGTTTACATAAAATATTGAGTTTATATGATTTATTTTTGTTATTGTGTTCAGTAAAATTTATTTATTTATTGGTAAAAATTGACATGAATAAATGAAAGACTTTTATCTTAATAAAAATAATTCCTTACATTTATATAGACACCCAAAGCACTTTTTTGGGGTGGAATCTCCTCATCCTTTACCAGTGTGCAGCATCCATCTAGTTGATGCGACGACAGCCGTATCGCGCCAGACAGCACACCACACACACCAGCCGATTGGTGGAGAGATGAAGCTAATTATCATGTGGGGATGGTTAGGAAGCCAGTGGGCAAATTTGGCAAGAATGCCGGGGTTAAACCTCTACTGTTTTTCGAAGGACATCCTGGGATTTTTAGCAACCACAGAGTCAGGACCGCTGAAAGACAGCGCCCACTGTGCAGTAAAGAGTCCCCATCAATATACTGGGGCATAAGGACCCACACAGACCGCAGGTTGAGCGCCCCCTGCTGGTCTTATTAATACCATTTCCGACAGCAAACTAATTTTCCCATGTGGTCTCCCATCCAGGTACCGATCAGGCTCAGCCCTGCTTAGCTTCAGTTTGTAGGTTATCCTCTTTGGAAAAGCAAGAATTTAGAATATAAAATAGAATATAAATCTATTATTTTTCATTTTTACCACATCATTTCAACTCATCTTCCTTCTTTTACGCTGATTATTTTTGTATTTGGAATTTACACTTATTATTACAGTTTTTCTCAGTGGCTTTGGTGCATTTCTTACAACACTTTACATTTGCACAACAGTTAATACATTTCTCTAAACAATTAGTCATTTTATGCACATCCTAGTAGCATTTTCTCATACCTTCCAACAAATTTCAAACACTTTTGGACATGCTTCAATCGCTTTCATACAACTCTCTGCTGTTTATAACATTATCATTTGCTTATGTCAGTCAAAATTAACTAAACTTGTGTGTATATATATATATATATCTGTATATCTACACAGCTCGTCGGCGGCCAAAGACAGTTGCTGTTGTCTATCCACAAGATGGCGCCAGAACCGCATAATAAGCCCTTGCTCAGTGTGTTCTCTTGCGCGAATAAAAAGCTAAAAAACGGAAACCTTGTGGTTTTTAAGGTGGAGCGGATAGTCAATAAGAAGCTGCGAATAAGAAGCTGGATTCAGCCTTGTCCCTTCTTATCGCAAACACAACAGCAGTCTGGTGAGAAATCTCTGTGACGGATGGCATTTCATGTCATGTTCAGCCTTATCATCTTAAAATGTGAGCAAAATTTGCTGTTTTGTCATCACCTTAAGGGGTTCACACACCAGAAGCACCGCTTCACATAACGCTATAGAGAATCATTCAAACACCAGCTCTAAAGTGACGTTGGTGAATTAGTATCGGCTTCTGCTGTTCTGAGGTCAGCTGCAGATGTGAATGAATGGCGGAAGAAAGTAGTTCCTAATACAAGAGGGTTTTAGACTGTGTTTGATCTTTTTTTATGTACAAGATTGTGCCGTCAAACTGTTGTATAAATGCAATATCACACTCGTAGCAGTGTGCTATGGCTGTATATCAGCACTGGTGGGGCACTAAGGCACGAGGCCGCGCACGCCTCCCACCAGTGCTGATATACAGCCATAGCACACTGCTGCTCATGTGATATATATATATATATATATATATATATATATATATATATGAAGAGGTCAGATGCAAAAACCTCTAAATACTGTCTTAAATATTCCTCTAAAATGAGCATATATTTCAGGCTCCTCTGAGTGTTAAGTAACATCACTTTCATGGCAAATAGTAAAGGAAAAATGTTCATTTTCAATGGAAGTTTCAGACAGCAGTGACGCATTGGTGCAGTAGGAAGTGCTGTTGCCTTACAGCAAGAAAGTCGCTGGTTTGAGCCTCGGCTGGGTCAGTTGGTGTTTCTGTGTGGAGTTTGCATGTTCTCCCTGCGTTGGTGTGGGTTTCCCCCCAGTCCAAACACGTGCTATAGGGGAATTGAATGAATTATATTGGGTGTTTCCCAGTACTGGGTTGCAGCTGGAAGGGCATACGCTGCGTAAAACATGCTGGAATATTTGGCGGTTCATTCTGCTTTGGTGACCTTTGATAAGTAAGGGACTAAGTCAAATTATATATACATTAAAACCTGAACCTTAAGGTAAAATAAAATATTTTCTTAGCATTAAAAAAAGGAATAAAGACACAATCTGATCGATTCATGCATAATAACAATTTTTTTTGTTCTCAATTGAACTCCAAATTGAGATTCGCATCAACGTAACCATCAATAAATATGTTTAAAATGTGCCCATATTAAGGTTTTTTTTAATAAATCTGCACACGGTTATCAGTCCTCCACAGTCAACACAAGACATCAGAATGTTCCATAAAGGTGTTTTATTGAAGCTTATCTTCAGGTGTTTATGAGCTTCTAGCAATGAGGCGATCTCACTTTCTAGATCATTCCAGGGTTACGTGTCGGAGAACATTTATGGTTAAATAGATCTTTATAAGATAAAACAGTTGCACAAACTGCTTTTAGAAATAAAAAGAGGAAACATAAATATCACATAAACATTATGTACATTAACATATGGAGGGGCGCCTTTCTGAACATCCGTCAATCTGTGCACTTACACGGTCACTCGCTGTACTTCACCACGGTTTTCAGAAGTGTTTACAGTTGAAGACAAACGTATTCACACTCCTTTAACACTTTTAATTCACTTCAAAATATTTCACAAGTGCTGTTTAGCAGGGCCAGGACATTTCTCACAGTATTTTCTGTCAAGCTTTTTCTTCTGGAGAAAGTTTATTTTAGTTTGACTGAAATAAAACAGTTACATTTTTGTTAAGGTCAAAATTATTAGCCCCCTTGAGAATTTTTTTTTTCTTTGATTAACTACAGCACAAACCAGTGCTGTTTAATGACTTGCCTAATTACCAAAACTATTGAACTTTTTACATGTCTCTTTAAGCTGAATCTAATGTGTGTATTTATATAGCACATTCGTCATGTATAGCCATACACCCAAAGCACTTCACAATCATGAGGGGAGGGGGGAAGGGGGGGTCTCTCCACACCACCACCAGTGTGCAGCATCCACTTTGATGATGCAACGGCGGCCACAGGACACCACACACCAGCTGCAGATCGATTGGAGAGACAGTCATAGAGCCAATTCGGTGCATGGGGCAGATTAGGGATAACAGCCGGTGGAGGGAATTTGGCCAAGACACCGGGGTTACATCTCCGCTCTTTACGAGAAGTCCCATGGGATTTTTAATAACCGCATAGAGTCAAGACCTCAGTTTAACGTCTCATCCGAAAGACGGCGCTCACTGACAGTATGATGTCTCCTTCACTATACTGGGGCATTAGGACTCTAGGACTAGGCCTCTCTAATACCACTGCCAACAGCAACCTAGTTTTCCCATGTGGTCTCCCATCCATGTACTGGCCAGGTTCAGGCCTGCTTAGCTTGAGTGAGTAACCAGTCTTGGGCTGCAGAGTAAGATGGCTGTGGATACTAGTGTCTTGTAAAATATCTTGTAAAATATGACATACTGTCATTATGGCAAAGATCAAAGAAATCAGTTTTGAGTTATTAAATGTGTTGGAAAAAAACAGCACTTTGGAAATATTACAAAAACATAAAGAAAATATTTGCCTTCAACTGTAGTGATGAAGAACTGAAGGAGAAAAGGTTTGTTTCTATGAAATGCTACGCTGAACTCATCAATACTGTTTTCCTGTCCACAAATAATTCACATGCTGTGGTCTTCGTCGCTCTGTCAGATGTTGAATTAGCCGCTCGTCTGAGTCCGTTTGTGTGTTTAGCATGGTATTTAACATCTACGCAGCGGCTTCGATTCTGTTTCTGGACACCATCATGGCCCGTTTGAGCTGCTCAAACGACACGAACATCACCACGTTCCAGGAGCCCAGCCGCAGGAATGACGGGACAAAACTGAAGGAGAGAAAACAACAGAAATGCATTTAGAATCGTTCAAGAAGTGGTTCATCCTGAGAGATGGAAACATCCTGGTAAATTGCTCATTCAAAAAGTACAGAAGGTGTTTGGTTCTGTTTTCTCTTCAGGAGGAGATTAAACGTTCAGTTGACATCATGATTCACCTTCATGTCAATTCTTTTTCAACTATTTGAAAAAGCACAGGATTTTTCACAGTGTTTCCTATAATATTTTTTCTTCTGGAGAAAGTCTTATTTTTATTTTAAGCATTTTTACATTTTTTAAACACCATTTTCAGGTCAAAATTATTAGCCCCTTTAAGCTATATATTTTTTATGGTAGTCTACAGAACAAACCATCATTATACAATGTCTATTTACTCTTACTTGTCTAATTAACCTAGTTAAGCCTTTAAATGTCACTTTAAGCTGTATAGAAGTGTCTTGAAAACTATCTAGTAAAATATTATTTACTGTCATCATGGCAAACATAAAATAAATCAGTTACTAGAAATGAGTTATTAAAACTATCATGTTTAGAAATGTGTTGAAGCTCACTTATTTACATAAACAGCTACATAAATGCACATAAAACAATGTTTTTTTTTTAAATTACATTTATTTTTTATTTTGAGATAGAGACTGATTTTAAGAATGTGTCTGGTGCAAATGTAAAGGGGGGTTCAAATCAGAAGTTGTTTCATTAAATGTTAAAATATTTCACTTAATAACACAAAATTCAGTTGTTGTTGTTTTTTTAACTTAACATGATCTGGCTTTTTCTCACTGCTGATCCATTAACCAGTGTTCACTAATGAGACTTTACTGTAAAGTGTGACCTGTTGTACTTGATCATCTTTTTGCCGTTTCATTTAGTTGAAATTCACATTGAACAAATGAAAGTTGATGTCAGAATTAGTAGCCACCTGTTCAATTTTAATTCTTGTACATTTTCCCCCATTTCTGTTTAATAGAAATACAAATTAACACATTTCTAAACATAATAGTTCTCATAACCAATTTCTAATAACTGATTTCTGTTTTCACTGCTGATGACAGAGTTACTGAAGTTTGTTCTGCGGGCTTGCGGTTTTTTTTAGTTACATCTTTGGTTTGGTGCGTTAATCTGATCATTACTATTATTCAAAAGAAGGTAATGATTCGCACTCAGTTGCTTCGTACTGTTTTTATTTTTACTTTTTCTTACATTTTACGGGTGATAACAGACAGACAGACGTTTCGGCACAAAGCCTTCCTCAGTGTGTGACACAATTCTTTAACTCCACCCTTTTATCCCATAGTCAATCACAATGTGCAATTAGTTAAACTGTCACTTTCATTTCATTATCCATTAATCACACAATAACTTATAATCTTCACAGCAATGTCAATAAACAATCTTCCCATTTACGACCTCACTCTACAGAGATAAAGTGCATCAACTATTATCATTAATCAGGTGTATATCAATACAATACAATTCTAACAGTTGACATTAAAAGTTTTCTACATTTGACAATTACCTAAAGATTAAACTGCTGATGACAGCACATAATATTAGACTAGATATTTTTCAAGACACTTCTATACAGCTTAAAGTTACATTTAAAGGCTCAACTAGGGTAATTAGGCAAGTCATTGTATAACAGAAGTTTGATCTGTAGACAATCAGGTAAAAATATAGCTTAAAGAGGCTAATAATATTGACCTTAAAATTGTTTTTAAAAAATTAAAAACTGCTTTTATTCTAGCTGAAACAAAACCACTAAGACTTTCTCCAGAAGAAAAAATATTATCAGACATACTGTGAAAATTTCCTTGCTCTGTTAAATATAATTTGGGAAATATTAAAAAAATAAAAACAGAACTAATAGTTTAATAATTTTGATTTTAACTGTACACTATACAGTAATACAGTACATTTTTTTGTGTTATTACTATATTGATTAGAAACGTGTTGATAAAAATCTTCTCTCTGTTAAACAGAAATTAGGAAAAAAATATACAGGGGGGTGAAAAATACAGGGGGGCTAATAATTCTGAGTTCAACTGTATATACAGAAGGGGCTACAGTCTCTGGAGCTTGTCTCAATATCGCGATGAAAGCTTCAGCAATTAATCACAACAAGAAAATGAGTCGAGTAATTATAGTTGGTGTAAATGCTCGCTCACCCTTTGTAGAAAGCTGTGGGTCCCTCTTTAGTGAGCATGGTCCAGGCGCAGTTGGTGGAGCTGCTGTACTGTCCCGGTGGAGAGTTCATGTACCGTGTTTTTACCACATCCACAGGAGACGCGATCACCGTCGTGATGAAGCCCGCGCCGAACGCAGACACAAAGTGACACGGGAGATTGTCTGCATGCAGAAACGGGACAATACATTACTATTGCAATCGGTTATAGGGATAGTTCAGCTATTTATTGCTCTCCCTCAAGTTATAAATCTCTGAGTTTCTTTATTCTGTACAACAAAACCTGCAACCATTTCCTTCCATAGTAGGAAAAACTAATTCTGCCAACCATGGAAGACTTAAAGGACAACACAAACACTTAATACTCTTCATTGAATATGGACACATAGACATCACCTATAGGCTATATAACTGCAGGTTCTTCATGTTTATTTATAATAACTTAACATTCATTCATATTCCTTTGGCTTAGTCCAGGGGTGTCCAAACTTGGTCCTGGAGGGCCGGTGTCCTGCTGAGTTTAGTTCCAACTTGCTTCAACACACCTGCCAGGAAGTTTCTAGTACATCTAGTAAGAGCTTGATTAGCTGCTTCAGGTGTGTTTGATTCAACCCAAGCTCATTCTGAAAACGTAGTCCCGCGGACGTTTCTGGAGACAGCGGAATACGTCCCGGGAGGTACACACGGCCGCGTTTATTTTTTTTCAAGTGAACGCTGCGGGGCGGTGTGACGCCGTTCCCTTTTGCGCTTGCTGGCCGACCGCTTACTTCCTTGTGGAGGGCTTCCCCGCTGCAACCCGTTTGTCCACTCAGCTCATCGTGTACGTCGGCAGGCTCGAGATGCGGAGAGGAGTCCACCGCGGGGAAGAGCGGTTCCAGCAATCAGGTAAGACAAAAACAGAATCCCAAAAATTAAGTGAACGAGTTTCATGACTGCGAAATCCGAAACGCGGTAGAAAAAAAAAAAAAAATCAGGGCTTTTATTTTTTTTTGTAAACTGTCGCTTGGGTTTAGGGAAGCGAGCGGGCGGGCGGGTCGATCGGTAAGATTGGTTGGGTTCGTGGAAGGAGGAGGGTGGGTCGGCCGATTGGCCGGTCGCGCAGTCAATCATCCGGCCAGTGGGACAGTGGCCTCAGGCGGGTTCACGCGAGAACAGCGTGGGCGCTGAGGCGTCTGAGACGCGAAAAAGCGCACAACAGCGGCCTCTCGCGGATTCACGAAAACAAAAACTGCAGCCGTACGTACCCACCGGGACGTATTCCGTGGTCTCCAGAAACGTCCGCGGGACTACGTTTCCACAAGGTTTGATTAGAGTAGGAGCTAAACTCTTCAGGACACCGGCCCTCCAGGACCAAGTTTAAACACCCCTGGCTTAGTCCCTGATTATCAGAGGTCTTCACAGTGGAATGAACTATCAGCTATTCTTGTATATGTTTTACGCAGCGGGTGCCCTTCCAGCCACAACCCAGCACTGGGAAACACCCATACACTCTCACTTTCACACACACACTCATACACTATTACAGCCAATTTAGTTCATCCAGTTCACCTATAGCTCATGTGTTTGGACTTGTGGGGGAAACCGGAGCACCCGGAGGAAACCCACGCCAACACAGGGAGAACATGCAAACTCCACACAGAAATGCAAACTGGCCCAGCTGAGACTCGAACCAGCGACCTTCTTGCTGCTAACAACTGAGCCACGTGCCGTCCATATTAATAATTAACTAATATTCTTGCTCAATAAACATCCAATGAGAACAGTCGTAAAGTTAATAATATAGCTGATGTGTTAGCTGTGCCAGAGACAGTTTGTTCTGTACAGTGTGTGTGTGTGTGCATCATCGTCATCATCATCACACTTTGCCCTTGCTCTTTTAAAGGTTTCTCAGAGAAGTGCTGATGCAGAAGCCTGACCCTGATTACAACATTATCTTATCTGGAGAAAGCGCTGTGCTCTGCTTCAATCTCACACACTCTTCACTCTGATCACTGGAGGACGTCAGAAATGTGTTTGTGTGTGTGTGTCCAATCACAGAGGCCTCAGCTGCATCTCCTTATTGCCTGATTTACCAACACACACTGGCATGCGTGTGTGGTTGTGTGTGTGTGTGTGTGTGTAGGTTTGAGAAACACTGTCTGCTCATGTTTTTAATGACTGTATTTTATGACTAAACTATTGATTGAAATCCTTTTCATTATGGAAAGGTTAGGGTGGGATGTATTAATGCACTTGTCCAGTTATTTTAATGGAGCTTTTAATGCAGTCCTATTAGCTCAGATAATAAAAGAAAAACTTTATTTTATATTATTATTATTATTATTATTACTATTATTACTATTATTATTATTATTATTATTATTATTATTACAATTATTACTATTATTATTATTATTATTATTATTATTATTATTATTATTATTATTATTATTATTACCATTATTACTATTAATATTATTTATATTATTATTATTATTATTATTACTACTATTATTACTATTATTATTATTATTACCATTATTACTATCATTATTATTAATATTATTATTATTATTATTACCATTATTACTATTATTACTATTATTATTATTACCATTATTACTATTATTATTATTATTACTATTACTATTATTATTATTATTTATTATTATTATTATTATTATTATCTCACTTTTTTAATTAATAATTTACTTATAATTTTGGTCACTTTATTTATATGTACAATTCATAATATTAACGAATCATTAACAGACTTTTTTAGCTCATTAAATTACTAATAAGCTGCTCATTAATAGTTAGTAATGTAGTCGTTGGCTTTAGGTTCAGGATTAGAGATGTAAAATGAGATGATGCTTTGTAAATGCTAGCAAGAAGCTCATATCTTAGTAATAGGCAGGTAATAAGCCAGTAATAAATGGCGTAAATTGTTACTTAAACTAAAGTGTTACCCTTACTTTATTTAGGAAGCACATGTAAATAACCCTTTATTCACGCACTCACACTTTTCTTTTTTTTAATTATGAACATAAATATACCCTTCCTATAAAAATATTTAGTTAAAAGAGAGGTCTGTGAGGGCTGTACCTATTTATGCTGAGCACTTTATGTATGAAAAGTAATAGGAAGAGGCATATGTTTATTTAATCCTACATCCCCTTCTCTGCTCTTTATTAATAATAAGCAATGATCTAAAAGAGTAACTGATCATGAAGGAGTGTTTGAGTGCGCTGTCTACCTGACAGGAGTCTGTGTTTAAGGATAGCCTCTTTGATCAGATCGTAAGACACCAGTTCTGTGCAGTTGACCAGAGCGTTCCTCGTGATGTTCGGCAGAGTTCCTGATGCAAAAAACAAAGCAGACATTCATTAGATGCTGTTTCTTGAGCAGAAGCTAAATTTATAAACTACCAGTTAAAGTTTGGGGTCAGGTTTTTTTTTTCTCTATTTTTTTTTAAATAAAATTATTCTGCTCATCAAGGCGGCATTTATTTAATGTAAAATAAATTATTGAATTGTTAAATACTTATTTATTAAATATTTAGTTATTAATAGTTATTGTATGTATTTTCAAATGAAATTATTAGTCCAGTCATTATTGCTTTTATTACTATTTTTATTAATAATAATAATAATTTTTTACTTATTACTTATTTTATATTTAGTTGATCAACCTCCAAATGCTAAACTATATTACATAAAGTACATCATGCAAAATCAACATTTCGTTAATAATTATACATATATAAATCATTTTTACAGTACACTGAATACAGCTACATCAAAATACATACAGCAGTCAACATTTGAAATCATCAATGTTGAAAACCAAAAATGTGTATTGAATAATTTTTACAGAAACAAATAATTTCAATATTATGTTAATTGGAATGATTAAAATTAATACATTTATTTAAAAGTAATTATGATTAAAATGTTATTGTTTTCATTGGTCATAATTATAATATATTTAAGATTTATGTAATATTTATTACACAATAACACAATTTTTGATTCAATTATATATATAAATATACACAGTTGAAGTCAGAATTATTAGCCCCCCTTTGAATTTTTTTTTTTTTTTTTTTTTTATATATATTTCCCAAATGATGTTTCACAGAGCAAGGAAATTTTCATAGTATGTCTGATAATATTTTTTTCTTCTGGAGAAAATCTTAATTGTTTTATGTCAGCTAGAATAAAAGCAGTTTAAAAATTTTTAAACACCATTTTAAGGTCAATATTATAATTCCCTTTAGGCTATATTTTTCCCCCAATCGTCTAAAAACAAACCATCGTTATACAATAACTTGCCTAATTACCCTAACCTGCCTATTTAACTTAATTAACCTAGTTAAGCTGTATAGAAGTGTCTTAAAATATCTAGTAAAATATTATTTAATGTCATCATGACAAATATAAAATAAATAAGTTATTAGAGATGAGTTATTAAAACTATTGTTTAGAAATGTGTTGAAGAAATCTGCTCAACATCAAACAGAAATTGGGGAAAAAATAAATGGGGCTAATAATTGTGACTTCAACTATATATATATATATATATATATATATATATATATATATATATATATATATATATATATATATATGTATTTTTTTTTTATATATATATACACACACACACACACACACACACACACACACACACACAATATTCTATAATAATACAAAAATAATTTCATAATCAACTACAGAATCAACATATTTGACATTTTTGTTAAATTTGCATATTTCAGCATCCATTGCAGAATGTGACTCTCTGATTGGTGGATTTTTCTGTACATCATTTTACTTGCAAACTTTTGGAATATTCTTTGAGTCACTGATCACTCGCTCCCTATGTAGTGTACAAGTAAATGACCCCATAGATTCAGTACGTCTGCCTGTACCTTTCCAGAGACCACGGAGTCCCTCAAGCTGGAAGATCTGCCTGTAGGCCTGCATGGTGCCGTTGTATCGTCTGCCCACACCCTGGAGGTTCATTTGGGCCTGGAAACGCACCTTTACCACGTCTGTGGGCTGAGCCATGGACACGGCCATCGCTCCGGTAGTACAGCCCGCCAGGATTCGCACCGCCACATTAGGGTCTGCAGAGAAACATCAGGACAAGACAGATATGAGCTTTTTTTTTTTACATTCATACATGTGCATTTTGTGATTCAGGGTCACAGATTGCAGTAAATAATTAAGAAAATTTTATTGTTTATTTCACTATTAATTATGGCTGGCCAAAAAATGTGTTTTGACATAATGTGTGTGCACTGTGTATATTTATTAGATATATAATACACACATGCATGTATATAATTGAGAAAATACTTTTAGATAAAATCTGTATAAGGGTTGGAGGATGAAACTGAAACACTGGCCAATTTAGGGATGGAGGTTTCATGACTAAATTTCCAATGACTTCAAAGAGTCAGTATACATGGCCGGGCTGCTATAGCCAAACCTTTGGTCACTCGTGCCAATGATAAACATTGGTTTCAATAGCGCAAGCAGCGGAAATCTTCATTGTGAAACATCTATTGTTCTCTGATGAGTCCACCTTGACTGTCTTTACCACATCTGGGAGAGTTACGGTGTGGAGAAGCCCCAGAAATGTGTTGCATGCCCAGAGTGAAGCATGGGGGGATCAATGATGGTTGTCATTCCTCAGACCCAGTACTTGTGCTAGATGGTTGGTTACTGGCAAGGACTACTGTACCATTCTGGAGAAGCATGTGCACCCAATGGGTCAAACATTGTATCCGGAAGGCAGTGCCATGTATCAGAATGATAGTGCACCAATACACAGAGTAAGACTGCTGACAGAGTGCTTTAACAAAGATGAAAGTGAAGTTGAACATCTCCCACGGCCTGCACAGAGACCAGATCTAAATATTACTAAGCCACTTTGAGGTGTTTTGGAGGAGTGAGTCAGGAAACTTGTAGCACCATGTAGTGACCTGGCCACTATTCTGCAATAAGAAAGGCTTAAAATCTCTCGGGCCACTGTGCAGGACTTGTATCTGTCACTCGGTCACTCCCGAGATGAACTGATGCTGTATTGGTCGCAAAAGGAGGCCCTGCCTACACCATACTGATAAATTACTGAGCCCTAAAACCAGGAGTTTCACATTCATTGTCCAGCCTCTGTATATAACACACACACACACACACACACACACACACACACACACACACACACACACACACACACAAACACACACACACACAAACAGACACACACACACACACACACACACACACATGTGATTAATCTTTGAATGTTACCTAATGTTAAATCTAATGAAAAAGTTCTTCTGAAATGAACAAAATAGCTTTAAGAAAAGGCTTTCGGTTTGCTGAAGGAGACTTTTTGACTGACTGTCTTTTCCACGCGTGTAGAAGCTCTTGACGTTGTCGTAGAGGCCAATGCGGATGGAGGCGAAGGCCATCTGTCTCTGTAGGCCGGCGACCAGGCCGTTGTAGAGCGAGCGCGGACCCTCCGTCCTCATCATGGTGCTGATGGTCCCGAAAACACCTTTGTAGCGGATGCCTTTAGCGGCTCCTGTCACCGCTTTCTCCCCCTGGATCTAACACACACACAAACAATACATGAAATGATAGCTTAGTGAATACTACTTTATAAAGATCACCGTTAGACTGCTTTGGGCAGGATTATATTCATTCATTCATTTTCTTGTCGGCTTAGTCCCTTTATTAAACCGCGGTTGCCACAGCGGAATGAACCACCAACCTATCCAGCAAGTTTTTACACAGCGGATGCCCTTCCAGCCGCAACCCATCTCTGGGAAACATCCACACACACACTCATATGCTACGGACAATTTATTCACCTGTACTGTACGTCTTTGGACTGTGGGGGAACCCAGCGCACCCGGAGGAAACCCACACGAAGACAGGGAGAACATGCAAACTCCACACAGAAACGCCAACTGAGCCGAGGTTCGAACCAGGACCCAGCGACCCTCTTGCTGTGAGGCGACAGCACTACCTACTGCGCCACTGCCTCGCCACAGGATTATATATCTAAAGGAAACTACTACAATGGCAAAATTTGTATAACTTTAAACTAAAAACTGTATTTAATAGAAATGAATCATGTATGACAATATTACACATAACACACACTACAGTTTTTAAATGTGAATTAACTGATTAAATGTTAGGGTATCTTATATTAATTTATATTTATTTATTTATCATCTCCTTGGACACTTGCAAATGGTTTGCTGCATCTATAAATCGGCCATGTCTTGATGTGTTCAGTGTGATGCGATTTACTTTCGACGTGCAATTTGATTGGATGGGAATCTAAGGACTCTAATCTCCATACACAAGAGAAAATAAAGTAGTGACTGCAGGTTGAAGGAAAAAAATGGAGTAAAAGTACCGATACAGCACTAGAAATGTAGGCAAAAAGGGAAAGTGAAAGTACACATTTTTATAACTACTTGGTAAAGTACAACTCCTGACATAAACTACTCAATTACAGGAGTTTGAGTATCTGTAATTAGTTACTCCACATCACTGCTTGTGTACCTGCAGGCGGACTTTGGCCGTGTCCAGCGGGAAGGTGACGAGGTCAGCGATGCAGGCGGCCGTTCCTGCACTCAACACCTTCACAGTCAGAGGAGGAGGAACATCTGACGGCTTCAGACCCACCATACTAACACACACACAAACACACACACACACACACACACACACACACACACACACACACACACACACACACACACACACACACACACAATTTCAGTGAGTACAGCACACTACTGCATTACACTTACAGTATACACTAACAACATATACAACATGACAGATGAAGCTCACTGCTCTCATGTTTGACTTGTGCTGAGGTGCATTCTGGGATGCTTGTAAATGGCTGAGTTGTTTTGTTAAATGCTGCACACTTGTTGCATGTGCATACTCTCTTTTTCACCCATTAAAGAGTATTGGGTTATATACTGTATGCAGGGCAAGGGGTTTTCGGTCTCTGATAAACAGAAACTGATGGTGAACAGGTCTTTGCACAATGAAGTCCAGAATTTTCTTATGCGTTTTTTATTTTTTTTCTCCTGCCACATTCTGTCTTTATATGAATGTTTGCCCTGTGTTTGTCATACAGTGATCTGTGCTGGTCAAGTAATGGCATTTTGTATTTTGGCTTTCGCTTGTGTGGTGGCTCTGAACAGTCTAAACACCTCACAAATGATTTCCCAGATGCAAAAACTCTCACCCAGTTTTAATTTTTTAAAGATAAATGAAAGTTTTGGAGGCGGTGTGTCAATATACTTGACAACAGGTCAAATTTAATTTTAAGGTGTTAAAGTTAAGGCCAAACATTTTGGATTCAGTGTGCAAAAACCTTTAGTTTGACTATTTTCAATTACATGAGGTTCCTTTTAGAGCATCAATAATGTAATTTAATAAAAATATAGTCCATTAAATAGACTTTTGCATTGTCTAGTTGTTCAAGTGTAAAACAAGGTAAAGACGTCAGGAGCAGCAGGCGAGAGCAGAAACTCTATGGTAAATACTGGTAAAATTCATTTCCATATTTTAAAGAGGTCATTGTAATGTAATGCAGTGCTTCTTGTCTGGTCTGAGACCCCCTTTAAATCGTATCTCAATCAGGCAGTGAAGATGATCATTTTTAAAGAAATCAGATCTTAAATGTGGTGAGTTTATAATGGAACGACAGTTCACAGGAAGCAACTGAGCCGGCTTATTATTAATTAAAGTCTCCATAGTCTCTAATACTCTACTGAATTACATATAAATGTCTACAATGTTTCCACACAAATATGTTAATAAACACTTTTTTTCCATGCAGAAGTTGCATTCTAAATGGTTTACATTTTTTAATTAAACTCTATCATTTAATAAATCAGTATTATTTCATGCCGCACACTTGTTGCACATGCATACAGTACACTGCCTATCAGTTATTAAATGTATTGAACAGTTGTGTTTGTATTGAAATGCATAAGTACACACAGTCGACACATTTTAATAAACACATGCTTTCAAAATGATGAAATTAAGATTACTGAAGCTTTTGGCTAATGGTCAGCTTGATCGTGGACACTTTAAAAAGAAAATGTTTCTACACAATGTAAATATTACAAATTTATGTAGTAAAATGAAAAATTATTTTACATTTACATTCTTCAAAGTGTTCTGTAAATATTCTGTATATAAATATTTTTTTTCCCATGAGAATGTTAATCGTAACTAAAAAGTAGATAGAAATGAAGAGAAAATAATAGATTTCATTCATTTAAAATATTGTATATAGTTTGCATACAATTGAAGATTATATTACATAGCATTTATTTTAATGGAAAATGTATAAATCTATAAGATTAAGATCTTTTACATATATTTGCACATTTTAAGATGTTACACATATACTGTAGACAGACAGATAGATAGATAGATAGATAGATAGATAGATAGATAGATAGATAGATAGATAGATAGATAGATAGATAGATAGATAGATAGATAGATAGATAGATAGATAGATAGATAGATAGATAGATAGATAGATAGATAGATAGACAGACAGATAGATAGATAGATAATTATTATTATTAATGTAATAGTAATAAAAGCAATAATGACTGGAGTAATAATTTTCATGTGAAACTACATACAGTAAGAAAGTGTTTTTTTATTTTAATAAATATTTAACAATTTAAATTTTTTTAGATTTAATAAATGCCACCTAATGAACAATAATTTTCTTCTGCAAAAAAAAAAACATGAAAAAAAAATCATTAAAAAAAACACTGACTATATATATATTATATAACTGACTATAATATTATGTTTTGCATATATATATATATATATATACATATATATATATATATATATATATATATATATATATATATATATATATATAAATATATAAGCAAAACATAATATTAAAATAATATACAGTACTACATTCAATTTTACATGAGTTTAGAAAATGTGAAAAAATGTATTAAACCATTAAATCCATATATATATATATATTTATATATATATATATATATATATATATATATATATATATATATATATATATATATATATATATATATATATATATATATATATATATATATATATATATGTGTGTGTGTGTGTGTGTGTGTATATATATATATATACATATCACAGTTTAAAATCCTAAAAAAATATAATTATTTAAATGTATAATTAATTTATAATTAATTCATTTTTTAACAAAAGTTTGCATTTTTAATTTCTTTTAACTAATTTCAAAATGTAAAGTTTAAAATCATAATCTATTTAACAATTAAAAACTTAAAACATTTAAATGTTAAAACTTAAACATTTAATTAAAAAAGATTTAAAAAATGAGTTTGCAAAATGTGAAACAATATTTAAAATGTCACATTTAAAACCCTCATTTACTAAACAATCAAAATAACCATATTGCATATTGTTTCTTTTTTCTTAAACACACACTAACACGGTCCAATTATTAGTAACGCAGTGCGATCCTGAATAAAAATCCTCTGACCTGGCAGTAATCTGTGTGTGCTGGAGGGACGGGACGGGACGGGCCGGCCGGCAGGGATGAAGCCTGGAGCTCTGGAGGGACGAGGACTCTCTCTGTCCCTCTTTATATACGAGCACAAGCAGGACTCCATTCAAGAGGCGTCTCTGCGGGACACACCACTGGTCCACACAAAGTCCACCCTCAGCACAGAGTCCAGCTCCAAAACAGCCTGATAAACAAGCGCTTAGATAATACACTGAAGACAAAAACACACAGCTGATCGAGATGCTGCGCTCGTCAACACACTACAGGAATAAATTAAAACTCATTCACTCAGGCAGAGGAGTGTTTTCAAAGCTGCAGGTCACTAAAGAAGATTTCTGGTAGCACTTTAGGTTAGGTAACAATGCATCGGATTTATTACTGGATTTATTACTATAAGATGTGAACTGTTTATTAGCACATAAAGTATCATCCTTTATTTTACATACCTAAAGCCAACTACTACCTTTCTGACTATTAATAAGCAGCTCATTTGCAGTTGATTGAGCTGAAAGTCTTAGTTAATGGTTTGCTAATTGTGTGAATTGTACTGTAAAATAAGGTTCAACCACATGTTATTTGTTGAAATTGGGTTCATGGTGATTCCTAATATTTAAATATTATTATATTATACATATTAAATATGATTCCTAATATTTAATATTTGGTAAACACACACACACAAACACACACACACATTTTCCTGCATGGGTTTCCTCCGGGTGCTCCGGTTTCCCCCACAGTCCAAAGACATGCGGTACAGGTGATTTGGGTAGGCTAAATTGGCCATAGTGTATAAGTGTGTGTGTGAATGTGTGTGTGGTTGTTTCCCAGAGATGGATTGTGGCTGGAAGGGCATCCGCTGAGTAAAAATGTGCTGGATAAGTTGGCGGTTCATTCCGCTGTGGCGACCCCAGAATAATAAAGGGACTAAGCCGACAAGAAAATGAATGAATGACACTCACACACTTGCAAAACTAAACGACTACCTGCACTGAATAAAGTTCTATGACAAAAAGTCATAAAAACAAATGTTTTTGTATGTTACTTTACTTTATTTGATCACATTAATCAGGTTTTAACTATGTTTTTTAGGTTATACAAAGTTCAACTTAACAGTTTTAGTTACTTTGATCGATTTAAGCTGACATGAAAATGATGAAAAATTCCTTTGATTTAACTAAAATATTTAAGGCAGCAAACAGAAACATTTTCACAGTGTAGTTAATGATTTGTTGATGGCATAACTTTATATTAAAATAACGTGTGACCAAGATCTTTAGTTGAAACTGGGGTTATTGAAGATTAATAATAAGATATATAAAACAAATAAATAAATAAAAACACAGATGCTGTAACTTGTGGAAGTTACTGTAATTTATCACAACTACATACAAATCATAACTCTGTGACACTGGAGTCTTATTCAGTCAGTTTATTTTTCTCAATAGCCACAAATATATTTTATTGGTCAAAACTTTAATTACTTGCTAAAATCATTGGAATATTAAGTAAAGATCATGTTTCATGAAGAATTTTGTAAATTTCCTACATTAAATACATTAAAACTACATTTTTGATGAGTAATTCCAAAGAACCTAATTTGTTCAATTTTAGAGGTGAATTTTCGATATTTTAATTTATTTTGAACCCTGGGATTGCAGATTTTCAAATATCGGTATTTTGTCTCACACTAACAAATTATGTCTGCAAAATGCCGGCAAACAATTTATAGATGTTGAATTTAAACAAATAAATAATGTTCTACTTAATTTGTTTGTTTAAATTCAGCCTAAACAAATTTACAGCCACTTAACTTAAAAAAATTAAATCCAAGGAATCATCTATGAATCTTTTTTCAGTGTATCTGCTCTTTCAATCATAAGCAATGGAAAACTAATTTCTGTGGTCTATAAATGTCAAATGTAAAAAGGTCAGATTATTGCCTGCGGTTTTATTATGACAATAATGAGTGAAAGATACCGTCTCAATAAATTCAGTTCTACATTACAGGCTCTGAAACAACAGAGCTGGCACTAGTGCAGTACATCTTAGATGGCCTGACGTTTAGCAAACCAGCTGTAAATATTGATTTAATGGCTGAACTGTCCCTTTAAGCAATGTATGTACCAGCGCATCTGGTAACTGAAAAAACCTGCTGATGTTAGTTTTACAGCAGATTCTAATGAATGAGTCGTTACAGTGAAGCTCTCAGCCAATGGGAGCACAGGACAGTACTCAGCCTGTCAGCTGATTGGCTGAAAGCAGGGTGGGAAAAGAGAAAAACACAAGACAAATAACAAACCAGGAGGAATGTTTAACAGATGGAGGAAAACATGCAGGAGTTCAGTTCATCACAACCAGACCATCTGTACATCCTTCAACAAACAGACTGATTTACAGCATACACACTACCTGACAAAAGTCTTGTCATCTGTCCCAGTTGTAAGAGCAACTAATAATGACTTCTAGTTGATCATTTGGAAAAGTGGGAGAAGGTGGATTTTTCTGATGAATCATCTGTTGAACAGCATCCCAATCATCACAAATACTGCAGAAAGTCTACTGGAACCAGCATGGACCCAAGATTCTCACAGAAATCAGTCAAGTTTGGTGAAGGAAAAATCATGGTTTGGATGGCAACATCAACAGCCTGAGATATCAAGACATTTGTGCTGCCCATTACATTACAAACCACAGGAGAGGGCAAATTCTTCAGCAGGATAGCGCTCCTTCTCACACGTCAGCCTCCACATCAAAGTTCCTGAAAGCAAAGAAGGTCAAGGTGCTCCAGGATTGGCCCGCCCAGTCACCAGACATGAACATTATTGAGCATGTCTGGGGTAAGATGGAGGAGGAGGCATTGAAGATGAAGCCAAAGAATCTTGGTAAACTCTGGAAGTCCTGCAAGTACGCTTTCTCTGCCATTCCAGATGAGTTTATTAATCAGTGATTTGAGTCATGTCAGAGATGTATGGATGCAGTCCTCCAAGCTCATGATGGAGTCAGACACAATATTCATTCTGTTTCCACTGCAGCAGGACTTTATATTCTATACAGGAAACAATTTCTGTTGAGTGACAAGACTTTTGTCTAAGCAAAGTCAGACCTTACTGTCCTAATGAAATAATTAAAAATCAAGGCATGATCATATTTTATTTCGCTAAAATAAGCGTAATCTAGAGGCCTTTACCTTTTATATAAACCACTTCTGATACCAAATGATCAACTAGAAGTCAAGTTATTATTTGTTGTTCCTAAAACTTGGATAGGCGACAAGACTTTGTCAGGGCTTGGGCAATGAATCTGAAACTCCTGGTTTTAGAGTTCAATAACTCATTAGTATGGTATAGGTCCATCTTTTGCAACCAATACAGCATCAGTTTGTTTTAAGAATGACAGACACAAGTCCTGCATAGTGGCCTGAGAGATTTAGAGCCATTCTTCATGCAGAATAGTAGCTATAGTGGCACTTTGTGATGCTGGTGGAGGAAAACATTTCCTGACTCACATCTAAAAAACAAAGTGCTCAATAATGTTAGTGTCTGGTGACTGTGCAGGCCATGGGGGATGTTCAACTTCACTTTCATGTTCATCAAACCACTCTGTCACCAATCATGCTCTATGTTGTTTTGTTTTACAGCGTGATTTCTTCAGCACTAATTTCTAAACTGATCTGTAGAGTCTTTTTTTCAAACATGTTTTTTTTTTCCAGAAACACTCCTCCATCCACTATTGGTCAGAAAAAAAGGTTTGCCTCAGCCCTAAACCCACACCATTGGCTGAGTTAAAGCTGCTGCGTCAGGACGGCAGAAAAAAATACAGAGCAACATTGAAATCACAGCATGCAAAGCTGCTTCAGACATCCATATCTGTTAGATAATGAGCCATATTATATAATTTTCAAAAAACAGATAAGTATGATTATGACACCAAAACAACAAAGATCTCAATTAGAGAGGCAGAGTTCAAATTTAATCCAAATTTACAATTAAAAATCCACCGTAATGCTTGATTGTGATTTTTATTACAAGTGTTGCTGGAGTTCATTATATTTGCATTTTGTGCACACACCTTGTATAGTGGTTGAGTGCTCCAGACCTTTCCTTACAGATTAAGATGAGCAGATATTTGACTGCACAGCAGCAAGAGTAATGCTGATGATGCACTGAGCAACTTTGAGCAATTCTGCTGGGCAGCTTTGGGAAATGATGTAATACAGGTAAAGGTTTGTTGACCCTTCTCAATAGGAAAGCAGCCAAGCACAACTGTTCTGCAATATTTCCTGGTAACATTGCTTGAAAGGTTTCCCTGTGTACAATCAGAACACAAACACACAACACATGTGCTGAAGTGAAGCTGAGCGGCTGAAATTACTGCTCTGACAAGACCAAACACAAGATCACAGAGCAGCCGCTGCTTCATTCATGCTATACTGTCTTTTTACAGTAGTGAAAACACAGGAACCGTTGCTGACGCTCAGACTGAACTCAGATCAGCTCTAAATGCTGATGATTTACACCTTGTGTAATAAACCAAAACTACAACTGATCATGATCTTCATCTGCTGAATCATCATCTGACCCAGAGTTCAGCACATTTAGTACTCATGAGCCTTAACAATCTCACCGCACCATTAAATTATTACTAATAATAATAATATAATACACTATTGATTAATTAATAACATTTCTTACTACAACCAATAAAACTCAAAATAGGAATACTGTAATAGTAAAAACATCTATCTATCTATCTATCTATCTATCTATCTATCTATCTATCTATCCATCTATCCATCTATCTATCTATCTATCTATCTATCTATCTATCTATCTATCTATCTATCTATCTATCTATCTATCTATCTATCTATCTATCTATCTATCTATCTATCGGCCACTTTATTAGGTACACCTATCCAACTCCTCTTTAACACAAATTTCTAATCAGCCAATCACATCAGCAACTCAGTGCATTTAGGCATGTAGACATGATCAAGATCTGCTGCAGTTCAAACCGAGCATCAGAATGGGAAAGAAAGGTGA